TTTATAGACACATACCCGCCAGTTGTCGCAGATTGAAGCATGAGGCTATAGCCTGTGCTGCATTCTGTAAGTGGAGAGAATACACTCTTCTGTCCCTACCAGCCAGCCAAAAAAGTTTGCTCGGCAGATCTGGACACTACTCTCAAATCAAGAGTCATCTACTTCAAAGCGTTGCCACCATCCTGTTCCCGAAAACGTTGAGCATCCTGACATGCCTCAAAATTTATTTAATTTTCCGTTCGTGGCCGCACTATTAGGAGGGAACGCGGCACAATAGCTGCGACAGCACCATTGTCAAGTCTGCAGCGGGTTCTAGCTTTAAGATTAACAAAAAGGAACTTGACCAAGGACTCATACGTCAAAGCCGTTGGCATCCTACTGCAGTGCAAGTCCCTTATGATCACAACATTTACAAAATGTGGCCAAATTTCGCCCCTGAAAAAAATTGTAAGCAAAAATGAGGAGATTTCATTTTCGGCAGGTGGGCGATCACGTAACTTTACCCGACTGTGATGATACCTTAAATAAGCAATTTTGACAGCTTTGTTTATTTTGTTAAGAGGTTTGAGGTATATATTAACGGATGGTGGTGCATTACTAATGTACGATTGATTTATGACACTGACACATGAGGACTGCAGTCTGAATTTGTGCATTGGCGTGCGTCGACAACGCTTTTGAACCACCGATTGACCACAACTCTTCAATGACTACTGCTAACAAGCGCGGTGAGCACCTCAGTGGTTCAAGTGAAGCACAAAGTCTGCAAACTCTGGCGAGCTTCCCCTCTGAAATCGACCAGTCAGTCTTCAGCAGCGGCCCTAAAATTGAAGACGACACGTTCGGCAACCCCGAACAGGCTGGGAGAAGTTTTAAGTTAGTGACAGAGAAGAATCACCGAAGACTAGTCAGCCAAAGTCAATCTGCGCTTACAAGACCTCGAAAGGACGGTCGTCAATTTGCTTGGGCAACTCGGGCAGAACGCGACGTCGGTAGAAGCTGTGGCAGAGCAGGCAGCTACAGAAGCACGGTCGTTGACCAGCTATTGACAACCTAATCAGGGTGCGGAAGTCGAGCGACAGGAAGACGCTGGAGAGGAAGCGGAAACAGAAGACTCTGAGGAAGAGGCTGGCACTTCTGCTGCCTGAGAGGATGCTGCCGTGCTGCAAAGAGCCGTCGATAAGTTGAAGCAGCAGTGTGAAGGAAGTCCCAAGGTTGAAGGAGCCCGTTGCACGGCCATGTTGGCGTACGCGTGTCTTGTCCAGAACGGCAGATCAAGGATAACCGCTAGCGAACTCTCTGCTAAAATGTGCGGCAAAGGTGTCTACTTTGCACGTTCAATTTGCACCTGGACAAACACGTTTCTGCTTGACGGAAGAATTCCGCATAGCCGCTAAGGAAAGCATGCAACACGCTCGTCGTTTCTGTGGTACGAGAATTTCCTCAATGATGTTCATGCCTTCCTTTGTGAGCAACAATTTAATGTGGAAGTGCAGAAACTGGAGGACCACATTAACTCTGAAGCTTGCCGAAGCTTGGATATGTTCCATCCCGGACAATTTCAGAGGGCACCGCCATTCGCTGGATGAAAGGCCTTGGCCTCAAATACCGTGAAGTCAAGAAGGCCGTTTATATGGACAGCCATGAGCGCGACGATGTTGTGGCATTTCGAACAGTATTTGTGGAGAAAATGGTAGAATTTGAGTCACCGATGCCCTAGATTACAAAAAAATGGCGACATGCTGATAAACATCACATGGCTAAAAGGGCAACCTTTAATCTTGGTCACCCATGATGAGAGCACATTTGCGGCCTTTGGTGGACAACGGAGGCTCTGGTTGCCAGATGGATAACAACCACTACGGACGAAAGGAGATGGACGATCGCTTCATGTCAGCGATTTTCTACCGGACGTTAATGGGCGCTGGGCACTCAAGGACACTGACAAAGACCTATTTGAAGGTTTCTTAAAGAAGGATTGCGTGGTCATTAAACTTGGAAAAGACTACGATGGATGGTGGACTGCCGAAGACTGGTAATGCAAGTAAGAGATCGGGCAATACCTATTTTTGAACGCCGATTTCCAGGGGCACAGGCGATTTTTGCATTCGACAATGCCACCAGCCATGCCTTTTTTTAGCCTGACGCCCTAATTGCAAACAAGATGAACCTCTCGCATGAGGGAAAGCAGGCAAAATGCGGTAAGTTTCACATCTGGTTTGTCGTTTTATTCAGCGACATTTAGCTACTGCACTGTGTGCTAACTAAATTGTTTACTGCACAGGGCAACAACATTTGGTAAAGACGGGCAGATCAAATTTATGTGCTTCCCGCAGGACCACCCTGATCCGGCTCTTATAGGACCGCCAAACGGACTGAAAATCGTGCTACAAGGACGTGGTCTGAGGAAAAACGGGTTGCGGCTTAGGTGCAAAGATGAGTGTGAGGACTTGAGAATGTGCTGTGTGGCAAAGCGGTCACAAGAATTTTACCGTTCAGTTGGGGTGGGGAATTGGGCGGATTGCAGACTTCAGCTCGGTCCGAAGCGTTATGATTGGTGGACACAAACTGGGACGGGTAGCTGGCAATAGCGCACCCAACCCCAGTAAGCAGGATCGATATCACTTGGGACAAGGCTAGATGACAGTACGACCAGTTGGATTGCGTGATTCATCGTGAGACAGAGCAAGAAAAGATTCGTGATCCCTCACCTAGGGATCACGATCCTGGCTTAGGATCATAATCCTGACTTAAGATCATGATCCGGACCTAGGATGACGATCCGGACTCAAGGTCGCGATCCGGACCCAAGATCACGATCCGGACCCAAGATCACGATCCGGACCCAAGATCACGATCCGGACCCAAGATCACGATCCGGACCCAAGATCACGATCCGGACTTGGAACTAGGATCCGAGGTAAAGTGGTGGTGATATTTTGGGTGGACCACAAGAAGATTCGACTGCCAAAACACCTGATGTGGGCCACACCAATACGAAAGGACGATCTTCCTGAAGCAGGGACGCGTGGCATCCGGTTAGGATATACGGATAAGGAAGAGGGGAAGTTCATAGGTTGATTGGTTAGCATTAAAGAGAATTCAATTTACTTCATAAGACGCACACATTCTCTTCCGGGCAGGATCTTTGGCCTCCCGACGAATAAAGAGTCGCGTTACCCGTCCATATAAGTGTCGCACCTGGATTGTTTGGCCAGTTGCGTTCAAGAATTCTCAGATAACTACAACTGCGATCGGACGCAGCAAGACACGTAAAGGCAAGGTACAACATCGCGAGAGGGCTCAAGTGGTCACTAGGTTCGCGTATCAAGAACCCACACAGTGGACAAGGCGATCTCGATGAGATCAGGGTGACTTATATCAGTACCCCACTGATACCCCAGTGATCGCGCGAAGATTTCAGCCCGATCACACAAACTCATCCCCAACACGGTCTTGTTTTCCCTCGACACGAGTCCACCTGGAAGAGTACAACCCGCCCTACCGACGGGTACACAATGTGAGGAAAGCAATATGCACGGAATCGGAGTACCCCCTTCATTAGTAGGTCGTCTGGGTGCCAGTGGAGAGTCGGGATTGTAAGGAATGAGCGATCACCGCTCCACCACAGCTGCGTTCGTTCCGTTATGGCCAAACAACCTGACTTTGTTGGCCAGGTCGGAATGCTTGAGGAGCTCATAGTTAGGAAAGGCCACAAGATCACCTTTTACCCAAAATTTCATCCAGAACTCAATTATATCGAAAAAATTTATGGTGCGGCAAAGCGGTATGCCAGAGGCATTTTGTAATGGGGCACCCTTCATCCGGGTGCCACGAAACTTCACGTACACTAGTACGTGCAGAGGAAGCTAGTCTACTCAACGGCTAAGCTGAGTAAAGGGTAAAAAGAGAACTGTTTATAATATCGTTAAGCTATCAATATAACTTTAATTTTTATTTCGCAATATTAATCTAAGTCGTCGTATGACGACATCCTGCTCACCACTCATTGCGCGCGTCTAGGAGCGATCGGTGGTAATAAATGGTTGATATGACTTTTATCAACCAATCTTTGAGCCGCACATGAATTTCATACTGAAAAGGATAATATTCCTTCAATATTATACATATCGGATAATATTGGTAGGACATTGTCATGCTGGACAATATCCCTATTGACTCCGTTTGGTGTCAATATCATGTAACGGGCTACCCCATTACACATTGCGACTACACGTGGCGTGGTCTACAAGAAACGCTGCCAAAAGCCCTGGACTCTGTCAGCCTATCAGAGCTTCGACGGTATACCCGTAAAGAGCAGCGGTACATGGATGCATACCAGAAAGATCTCACGGAAACAGCTGCAGAATATGCCGTCAAGAAGTACCTTTCACACTGGCGCATACCAGCCACGGACCTCGATTAACGTGAGTTTTTATCAGACAATTTAATTTTTATGTGAAGTTTTATTATAATCTATTTGATCAATAAATAAACTTTTAATTTTAATCAATTTATCCTTGGCCAAATTATCCCTCGCCCATACAAAAATGCTCAAATTGGCCAAACTTTGAAGAGGAACAGCTCTATGGAAAATGGAGATCCATGGAATCCGATTCTATAAAACTGAGCAGTTCTATAGAATCGGATTCCGTGAAGTCTCATTTTTAGAGACTCCTAACCGATTGGTAAAGTTTCTGGAGGCAAGTTCACAAAGAAGCTTAAGGTGTTTCAGTTGCTGATTATAAGTGACTTGCACTGTACTTACGACCATAAATCTAGTACATCGCAGCAATTGTAGCTCGGGCTTATCGTTCCTCAGGTTATGTCAAAAGTGTCGACAGTACAAAGCTGCAAAACAGACCGCACGTTCAATATACGAGACATGGTATCACTTCATTCGGACGGGTGGGGAAAATTTACAGAGGGTGGAGTTTACGTCAGTGAAACAACTTTGAAACAACTGCTGGAACCAGGACAACCACCCAATTGTCGCACAAATGGGTGACTGGTTGTTAGCAGTGCACTCTGGAGCAGGACAGTATGGCTCCTCGAACGAAGCTGCGTACCTCTCGTTGCTTCAATCAGCTCTTAGAAGCACTCATGAGCGCATTACGAACTCCCGTTGTCCACCTTCAGCAGCGCAAATGGCAGTTTATCTATTGCACTCTTTCGAGCACAGTCGATTCACGAATGCGGGACTTGGTGCAAATTTGACGGAAAACGGGCACGTCGAGTGCGAAGCGAGTGTTGTTTGTGGTCGGACGGGGTTCGTGGCTTGTTGTGGAGCTGTTCGTGGGGTGAAAGAGCCGAGTGCATTGGCGCTGAAGTTACTGGAGCAAGCTGAGAGAGCAGGGGACCATAACTTGAGCGGACAATTTGTTTTTGGTCGACAGCCGCCTCTGGTGGTTGTTGGGGAACACACTCGACGATTGGCTCGGGACTTTGGTCTTGAGACAGCATGTGACGATGCAGAAGAGTTGAGAATGTACCAAGTGACACCAAAGTCTCGAGCACATTGGAACAAGTGGCATCAACGATTTCTGGAGGCAGACACGAGCAAGAAAAGTGACACGAAGGAGGAGGAGAAGGACGACGGTGAACACTTGGACACTGTTGGATCGGTCTGCATGGATTCCAAAGGGAACGTCGCAGCTGCATTGTCAAGTGGTGGTGTGCTGTACAAGGTCCCCGGTCGTCTGGGACTAGCAGGCTGTCCTCGAATGGGCTGCGATGCTGCGAATGCTGATATGGTGTGGAAGAAAACCCGCAAACGAAAACGAAGAGAGCGTACCAACGTGAGGAACGCTTTTGCGGTAGCGTGCACAGGTCGAGGAGAGCATTTCTTCCAGAGTAACTTCGTCAGCAGCTTAAGTCGACGATTGTCCAAGTCGGCAAACCTAGACAGAGCATTGCGAATGACGTTTACGGACGCGAGTAACAGCGATGGTCGAGTGGGAATTGAAGGTGGTGTGTTGGCTCTTGTATCACTGCCACGTGAGCGAGAAGACGACGTGACTGCACGGCGAGTTCATCTTGGTGCAGCATTCACGACACGTTGTATGGGTGTGGGCTACTTGCAGTGTCGTGCTAATACTGAACCAGAAGTGCGCGTGCAGCTTCTACGTCGACCTGAGACCCAGAAAAGTGCGGCAGGAAGCGTACATCTGGAAGTAGCTGTTCATGTGTCGTCGTTCGACTTGGTGCAGCATCATCCTGACACGCACCATGTTGAGTAAGTGATGATGTGGGTGTACAGCAAGTTCAAGATGGCGTTTTTGCATGCGTTATCGACCTGTCTTCTGCTTAGGACTATAGCCATGGAGATTGATGCTGACGGGTATATCGAGACCGGTGATTTTGTACATTGAGCACGTGCTGTTGACGCGTCGACAGCCACTCGAGTGCGCTGTTTTCGGCCGTCTTACGCTCGGAAGTTCAATGTGAACACATTGGTCCTGACGCATTATTTCCGCCTCTCGTGGAGTTTATGAAAGAAAACCTCGCAAGCTACCGCGTGCCGCGCAAGTGCTTTTTCGTAGATGAGATTCCTAAGAATGCAATGGGAAAGGTGAATAAAAAAGCGCTCTCTACGATCTACTTGGAGAAGTCTTAGCGCTGGCAAGTTCAGTCCACCTTTGTTCGCGACCTCGCATGCTTGGGCGAGAAAGTGATTTCTCGTCGGCAGGTTTTGGGCGTTGGTAACGCAGCGTTGGTGAGCGGTGTGGAAGAAACTTTGGACACCGGCTGGACGTGCCCACCTAGTGGTGTACCGCATCTGTCCGCAAATTGACGTATGAACACGTTGAGTACGACGTCGTGAAAAATGAAGTGACAGCGTAGGTTGCACTAACCGAAGACTCTCGTCGATCTTGTAGCACTGTACCAGGGTGTACATGTAAACCGCAACGCTTTCCATTTGTTGGTGCTCGGTCCGGTGCATTTCAGTTGCATTTTCGACAGAGAAGGCCTTCGACGACGACACCGCATCCAGGATGGTCTTTGTGCGCGTCGACATGGCCCATGACCGCTGTTGTGCTACGGTGTTTCCGCCTGATAGTGTGACTGCGTCGGTATCGCCGCCAGATCCTAGCGGTGTGACATAAGTTTGGGATGTAAGCGACAAACAAGCTCTCAGAGTGATGTGTTGCCGTACTCGTCGTGGCTGATCGTTGAAACCACATCCGTGGATCCGGAGAATGTTGTTGCGAAGCAGCAGCCGCTAGTTTGCGCTCTTTCACATTGCTCGGGACCACTGTGTTGATGAGCGAGCTTTCACTATCGCTTCCTGTCGAGCTCCTAGGCGATGACGAAAAGATGGACGGAGATCTCTGCAGACAATCCGTGGCTGAGCGAAAGGATCAGACACATTAGCTGACGTATGAAACAGAGCTGAAGGACATTGTAGCGGCAGTTGATCACCGCTGTCCAAGTTACCGCCAACAACATGAGCAACAGACGACGAGCTCATGTTTTCTCGAAACGACACGAGCTTCTCGAGATGATCCTCGTGTCGAGCGATCGTTTCGTCGTTCAGCGACATCAACATCTTCTTCTGCCAGCCAGGAGGAGGATGGCCGAGCACGACACTGCCCTGTGACGATGTTGACGTCGACGGCGATGGTGACGGCGACGGGTGCCGGTTGCGTGTTGAGCTCCTCTGAGTATCCAGTGGATCATGGGTCTAGTCCGACAAAAGGTATCAGAAGGACATTTCGTGTGTGGCTTTCATACGAACGTACCATTGTGCGAGCTCGGGTAGAGAGCTGGGACTGCAGGACTGGAGAAGAAAGGTGAACAAGTCATATAGCATAACTTTGCTGACAAGAGTGCAAACCTTCAGCTCGGCTCATTCTGAAAGACAACGGCAAGGCTGCGACTGGACTTGATGGCGTCAAATTCTCGCGACTATCCAAGCGCACAGAAAACGTTAGACCCATCTCGTTCGTGGACAGGCATATCTAAGTCTTACGGATGATGTGGATTTCGCACGAACGAGTGGCTATCTGATCGATCAAATGGCTGGAATGAAACGAGACAACATTTGTCAAGTCAGTTCATGTGGCGATACGATTCTGAAATGTCCGTACCAAGTCTGAACTGGAGCCAGCACTGAAAGCAGACTCGAGTCTGCTACGCTGGAAGTATCGCTGATCAATGTCGCTCACTTCGTCAAGGAAGGCTTGTTGCTGGCCGTGTATGCCGTCAAATGCTTGCTGCTGAACCTCAGGCATTCGACAGTCGAAGGCTGTTTCTGTGTCGTGGTCTTCGTCCAGACTAGATTGACGATGATGCTGGAAAAGCTGCGTGGACAGCAGTACTTTGACATAAGTACCAACTCCATCAGATGCTGGGACAAGAATACCTGCCGCACGTTTTGATCGTCGTTCTGGCCGATGTGCTGTGAAAAGCGACCATCGTGTGTTTCAAATGGAAACCGACGAGCACATTCTCGCTCAGTGTGTTGAGCCTGCGTCTCGTGTCGAAGCTCCTCACCGTCGCTGTACCAAAAAGTGCAACGAAACGAGCGTCTGTCATCAGTCCAGTACTCGACTTCACTCTGCAGTTCACTCACTTGACAAAGACCGTGTCACCACCAGAGGCAACTGTTGACAGTGGTCGTTCTCCACCACTGGCATCTGGCAGTCGTTGAACAGCTCGGAACGGCCGTTCGCCTCTTCTCGCCTTCTTGACTGGAGTGAAGACACACCTGCTCCCACTGCTTCCGTCTCGACCCTCCACTGCGTCTTGGCCACGCCTCGTCTTGTGGCTTGGACTCAATCGTGCTCTGCTGTCCAGTGTCCAGTCACTCGTCACCTCCAGCGCTGCAGTTTCCCCCGTCACTTCTTGACTCGTGGCAGGCTTGGAACTCTTTGCTCTCTGCCGCTCGAGCTCCAGCACGCGAATGTCTGCACGTTGACACCACCAGAACGTTGTCACTACTAGAGCCACACGAAGAGTCCAGTGACTCATGGGTACACGAGCACGCTCCCGACCTTGAGACTCGGTGTCGTCTCCTACTTGTACAATGTACCAAGGCGTGGTCGAGTCGCGCGCTCTGGCTGCTGCTGCTGGCTGAGCGCTTCGAGATGGGCTCGAGGGCTTGACACGCTGCCGCTGGACTTGCGATGGAAAGTGCATCTGTCGACGTTGGCCGCGCTGCGAGTACAGCGCGCGGTGTTTCCCGCCCGTCATCCAGTTCATGCTTGGGAGCCGCTTGTTCCTGACTGGAGTGTGTGTGAGTGCGGGACAATTGCGGAATGACCGCAGTGCGGGCTTGTCAAAGTTGTTGCACTTCAACTTAGAGTGATGGTCATGCTGGCACATAAAAAGCGGTTTGACTCAAAAAAATGTATTTTTCACACTGCTTGATTGAATTGATGCAGATGGTGTTCTAGGTCTTCTAAATGAACGATGTCGACGGACGATTTAGGTTCGATAAATTTCTTGTTTTGCTTCTTTTCGAAATTGATTTTCATAAACAAATCTTACTGCACTCGTGCGCCAATCTAAAAGCCGTGGCTGGTATAAACATCCTTTAAATACATCCTTTCTTTACATTTTGCTGTTTATAAAACCCACTGACTAGCTTTTATCCAAGAAAAACCTCTCTGACTCTTAGCGAGACGACTACAGCACACGCGCGTCTTCCGAGTGACAAAGTAGATGATCTCGTAATTTACTTGGCCAGCAGAAGTGGACCGCTATGTTAAACTCCAGCATAGAAGAGCAGCGAAAGTTAGACTGGCAAGATGCAGGTCTAACGTTTGCTTCAAACCCAAGATAGGAGCTGTCCTACCTATCTACCCTTCTTTGCATCAGGTCGCACAAGGGGCGGACAGAAAATCAGTCATCGTAGCCTCAGGTCGTGTTCATTTCAACCCTTAATCATTCAAATGTCCCGTTTTTGACCACTCTTTCCAACCTTAAATCAGTAGATCCATCTCAACAATACACTCCCCAGTTACCTCACCTCCGCCTCCGCATGCTCTAACCCCTATTTTGTCAACTTACTCGAAACAAAGTATACAGCACACCATCATATCGCTCCGGTATGACGATGCGCTCGTGTGGCTACCGTCTATCAGCCGCCATCCCCTGGCTCTGATCCAACCAAGACATCGCATTCCTGAATTTGCATCGCAAGTCTCAAGTCACTCCCTACAAATCCCATGGTTCTCAAGATCCGCCACGACGCCCCTGGCTTCACGGCTGAAGCAGTTGTTGACGGCGAGTTCAAGACCGTGTCCCTGTCCGACTACAAGGGCAAGTACGTGGTGCTGTTTTTCTACCCCCTGGACTTCACTTTCGTGTGCCCGACCGAGATCATTGCGTTCAGTGAGAAAGCTGCCGAGTTCCGTAAACTCGGGTGTGAGGTCCTTGGCTGCAGTGTCGACTCCAAGTTCTCGCACTTAGCATGGATCAACACGCCTCGTAAACAAGGCGGGCTCGGTGAGCTCTGCATCCCCCTCATTGCGGACTTTAACAAGGAGATCGCAACGGCTTATGACGTGCTGATCGATGCGGGGGACGACATTGGCGCGACCTTCCGTGGCCTCTTTATCATTGATGGAGAGGGCAAACTCCGTCAAAGTACGGTCAACGACTGCCCCGTTGGGCGCAATGTGGACGAGATCCTGCGGCTCGTCGAAGCTTTTCAGTACACGGACGAGCACGGGGAAGTGTGCCCTGCCAATTGGAAGAAGGGCAGCAAGACGATCAAGCCATCGGTCGCCGAGTCGAAGGAATACTTTGAAGCTGCTCATTAAAGCGCTGGATGGTTGATAGCTCCAAGACTCGTTTTCCTCATTCAGGTTAGAGGAGCTATTAACACTGGACGAAAACGAATACAGCATTTGACGCTAAAACAACGGGATTTTATCGAATTTGACCACGATATCATCCGAAAAAATCGTCCTCTTGTTTTAACAGCGGCGAGTATTGACCGACAAAATCGTGCTCTTCCTTTAACAGCGGCGTGTATTGACTTAGTCTAAGAGGTCAAAACTACCTGCAAATGGTAAAACACCGAGCTGAATAGGGGTTTCGACGGCAAATGTACCCGAAAATATCGATAAAAGTAGGGAATACCAAAGACTGACAAAATACGTTGTTGTCATTGCACGGTTCCAGCGTGAAAGGCATCCATACGCTAGTGACAATAGCCACAAACTTGTCGAAGTAAAAAATGGTGGGACATCCTTCCGTAGTAGCCTCTGCAATATGCAATTCCATGTTGAAGACAAACCTCACCAGCTTCTCCATGTACGAATAGCTCAACGCTGCAGGTTCATATACTGACTTCTATTTCGTCCTGGAAAAATCCGATGAAGGTGCTGGGGGTAGACCTGCACGCTTCGATTTGGATGCTCGGATCCCCAACATTGGCACCACGCCCTGATCTTCGACTCCAATCATGGGGCACTCGAGCAACTTCAGACAGTCTGCCTTTGCTTCGGGTGTCGTCGTGGCTTCACTCACGCGATTGTTGCCATTGATGCTCACCGCTGAGGAGGATCCAGAGAAAGACAAGTGCATGGACGTCTGGTCGTCTCCATTTCCATCGCGCGCAGACTGAAAGTGTCTTTGCTTCTTCGACATGTGACTACTGTTGCTCTCATTGTCGCTCCAATCCCCTTCTTCCGTCTCGTTGGAGGTCTTGGTCAAATTGAGCTCGGGCTTGCATGCCACGGAATGCTCGATCGATGAGCTATCGAGGAACTTGCACAGCACGCGGAACCAACGAGCCCATTCTCGAGGCACTAAAGCTCGGAGTTCCTCTCGTCGTGGCGCACCCTCCGAGTCCACGCCAATGATGTGGAACGAGTCGTTCTTGTCCGTGAGCATCACGCGCAAGACCTGGCACCGCTGTTCCAGTCGACCGTTCACCGTGTCTTCACTGGCATAGAGACACAAGCTATCGTCGCTCTTCAAGAGACAATAGAATGGTTTCCAGCGCTTCAGCACCAGTCCTTTTCGCTTCTCTAGCCACCCACGCATGACGACTGCAGTCACCTCTTTCTTCTTCGCCAGGGGGAACCCCGATGAAGCAGCAGTCGAGCTCAGCTGAAATGTGCTCCGAGCCACGACACTTGTCCGTCGCATGGACTTATCGAACGAATGATGTCGCTGCATGTCGAAATCCTCGATCGTGCTTGTTGTCCTTGCGCTGCCCATGCTGCAGCTCAGTGGATTGAGCTTGGCGGTCTCATTATAGTACGAGGAACAGTAGTCAGCAAGACTGGTTGTGTTGCTAGTACTAGACTGAACGCCGCAGTCGATACTGTTCGTGCGTGACCCACGAGAATTCGACCCCAGTACTGACGTCTGAACCACATCGTGCTGCTCGACTTGCCCCATTTGGCGTACCGACGCTATCGTGAAGCCGTTAAAGTCAAACTCGACAGCATTGGAAGGGACTTTCTGAAGTGTTGAAGAACCTTCAGCACAGTTACTCAAAAAGGTATCGACGTCAAGCGACTCGCAGTCAAGTGGTTCGTCGTTGGTTTTGCTGGTTGTAGTGGGTGTCGTGCTCCAGCCAACGTCCTCGACAGGGTCCGAGGACGACGTTTTTAACGCTGGCCGTTGAATCGATTGTTGAAAGGTGGGAGACAAGAGCTGGAGACCACCAGTAGAGACCTTTTCGGTACTCACCATTCCTTGATGAGACACTGGTTGGGTCCGAATGCTAGGCATGCTGACGAGACGATTAGTCCGACGTTGATTCCACTAGTCGTGTGCAATCGAGGAAAGACGCAAATGTCCACTGGCTGGATAGCTACAATAACAAGAATGAAGTCCGAGATGATGTCTGCTGTGACGTTGAGGAAGAACAGCGAACGACAAAGTCAGGCTGTTATTGCCTCGCTCGGACGTTTCGAGTCGACTAGACCTGCGTTCCTGCGTGGATGTTGACAATGCTCGAAGTCGCGAGTTACGAACGAGCACAACAATAAGGAACTGAGACGTTCGTGATGTTGCACTGAATGGACTTGACTCAATCATGATAAAAAACATACGAAAAACACGAGGCCGGTAAGAAGCGATGGGCCGTCCGTCGTGATCAGATGGAGAGGGAAGACTAGTCGGAGAAACTTGACAGCTGCTCGCTATTCATGTGGTAGCTAGCGATCAGGCGACTGTGGTAAAGCTGACTGACTGTGACCGTTTATTCACATACAACCAACGGCTTGGGTTTTCTCACGCCACATGTATGGAGCATGTTTTGGAAAGGCTTTCATTCCAGAAGAAGACTCTTTTTTTGAGGTGTAAAAACGGAGCCGCGTGTCGATGCATGACGATACACGCAGCGTCCTCGTGACGTCGAGGCTTTGTAGTCGTGGATCGGTTAGTAATGGTTCAACGAGCTGGCTTGAAGTGGAGGCACGCATGGCATAGAGACTGGGTTTTACCTAGTTGAAAGGATAGAGAAGTCGTGAAGTCGCTCGAGTCGCCTGATCACGAACTTTTGATCCGCTTTGAATGACTGGCGAGAACATAACCCAATGGATAGGAGCGAAGTGCGAGCGACTATGATCGTATCTGGGTAAAATGTGCTTTGCACGCACCTGTATACGCAAGTACGGATTCGCCCACGGTAGTGAAGAAAAGGGTCGCGAACTTGATGCTGTCGGACTAGTTTGTAATAGTTACACGTGGTCTGGCTGTTGAAGAAGGCACGTCCCCATCCTCACAAACACGAGAACGGTCGCAAAGTGGCTACTGGCATTTGTGCGGCCTTAGTTTATGCTCCTTCTAAGTAGTCGTCGTACTGACGCCTTTGACTGCTATGCGAAGCTGCGTGAATCTGTTGCATACTGCGCGAGTAAAGGTTACACTGAACAGCCTGCTGAATGACCAGAAAAGGTCGAGTGTGTGTTATGTTGGACAGCGCTGCAGCTCCATGAACTTCGTATCAAACGAAAAGCAAGCGAAGGTGCATTGTGCACCCTCTCAAACGTTGAGTCGTGTGGCCGAGGTTTGCAACATACTTTTGTGTGGTTACATTATCCACGGTAATTTCATAGATTTGCAATGTAGGTTACAACCTTGCGTGATCGAAAAGGTGTGCGATCATTCAGAGACGACCGCTGCACAGAGTGGTGTAGTCGATTAGACAGGAAGGCGGTGTGGACCACCGTAAAAACAGACCACCCACCATTGCACACAGGAGTATCCCATCGTCCCAAATATCCACATGGACGCCTTTGACTTTCTCGAGACGCTGCCGACGGCTACGCTAGAGCGTCTATTCGAAGACCCATGGGCATGTCAAGCTATTTTCCAAGCGCTCCCTCCGCTTGCCCAACAGTTTGTCATGCGTCTTCTTCCTACGAACGCCGTTGTGCCGCGTAAATTACTGGAACAATGGGTTGTTCACGATCCTGGAGATGTGAAGCGCCTGCCGTTGCAATTCCAAGTAGCGCTGCGTAAATTAGAAGGACTTCGTGTATTCATCCAGCAAGAAGGAGGTGGGTATCGACCAAATCCGACGTTCCAGAAGCAGCTCATGGTGAGACTGATCATTTTGTCGACAATTCTATTGTCCAGCAATTAATTGTGGCTGGATTTTGTCTCTTGGATGTTTTTTTTATGTTTTGGATGTTTTTGGCGTTTGCTTTTGTAGTATGCCCTGAGTAATCTGGGTGGATCGCCGTGGGAAAGCGGTCGACAATATCTTCCGAAAGATCCGGATAACACGTTTGCACCAGCAGATTTGGAACGATACGCCAGAGCGAGATGGGACTCAGTGCTGCATTACATGGTGGGCTCGACCGCGGTGCAAGAGCCACCGCAGTCGGTAGTGGATATCTTGCTGCGTACCCGACTTTTGCAAGCTAGTGGCGCCGACTCGAGAGCACTCCACATTACCGACACGGGCTATGAGTTTATGCTCAAGGATATTCACGTCCAAATGTGGATCTTTATGCTCGAGTACATCCGGACGCTGGATAATACAGGGACACTCAAGCAAGAGGATATTCTCCAGTTCCTCTTCCAGATCAGCTATTGCCAGACGGGAGGCTTCTACGCCGTCGCGGATCTGACCGAGACACAGCGGCTGCTTCTGGGCGATTTCATTGACTTTGGACTGTTGTTTCGCAAGCGCTCGAACTCGGATCGATTTTACACGACAAGTCTGGCAGTGAATCTGATCTTTGGTGGCTCAACGGGTCAAAAACGAAGCCATGTGAGCCTCACAAGCTCATTTGCTGGTGTGCGTGCCGGAGTAAAGTCGCAGATTGCAGATCCCCTCCAAGCACCAGCTGTAGATCAAGGCGCTCAGTTGCTCATCGTGGTCGAGACGAATTTCAAGATTTACGCTTACACTTCGTCAACTCTTCACGTTGCCATGCTCAGTGTCTTTGCTGACATTGTGGCGAGATTACCGAACCTGGCGATCGGGTTCGTCACGCGCGAGAGTCTGCGCTCAGCTCTCGTCCACGGCATCTCGGCGCAACAGATTTACGACTTTCTGATGAAGCATGCGCATCCCAAAATGCATCACAACACGCCGGTGATTCCTGAGAACATTGCAGACCAAATTTACTTGTGGGAGCGGGAGCGCAATCGCGTGCAGTTCTTGGAAGGAATCCTCTTTGATGGGTTCAATACCAAAGAAGACTACGAGAACGTGCGTGCGTACGCGCTGCGCCTCAAGGTGCTCACGTGGTCGGATCCGATCCACTTTCGAATGTCCATCGCGAGCGCAGGAATCGACAAAGTGCGTCACTACATCCAGAATGAGCTCTCGTCCCGAGCGTGAAAACATCGTACGATCGCAGCGTGTGACAAACGAAGTATACTTCAAGTGTAGTAGATAGATAAGATGGAAATAACTTACTAATGCAGCACTCGAATAATAGTAGTGGCTCCAGAGTATGACCAAAGAATGCCTCCAATGCGTCCCAATGCGCAAAGCAAGCGGCTAGTGCTGTCATGTTGCCGATGCAAAACATTCTTTCTCGTGGGTCGTACTATCGTCAGAGTAGCCACTGCGCGGAGATGAAAGCAGTGACGACGTGGGCAGAGCGGACGACGCCGTGTCGAAAAAGCGCTTGTAGATTGATCCGCACAGCATCATCACTATAAAGAGGAGGTCACACAGCGATGATCAAATACGTGAGCGTCGTTATGTCCACTCAACATGGCAACGTCATGACAAAAGTACCTTTTGTAGATGTGGATCCGGTCGGCTTCTTTCCATAGAGCTCTGTCGACAAACAAACGATGGCAAGCGAGTCATTAAGACGCACACATATTGAACGAATCCACCAGTCCTTATAACGTACTTGATTCCTCGACCACCTCGTGGTGAAACGTAGAGTGTCCACAAACGCAGCCAGAGCGATTCGTCCGCGTCAGCTCGGGATCGTCTTGCGGACACGACTCAATCGTCTGCATCCGGTACACACAGCATCGACCAGGTCGACAGAGCTTGCACTTCCCTCTCAACCTTCCTTCCATGTCGCGCTTAAACACAACGTGATCGATAAGGTCCTGCGGCACACCCTTAAATGTCGTCGTCTCTAACACCACGTCCAGATTCGCTCGAACGTAGTCAGCACAGATCTCTAGCAGCGACGGTGGCGTGAGAGCTCCAATGTCGATCGAGTATAAATCCTGCAGTCGATCTGTCCCATCGTAGCCTCCCAGCAAATACATTTTGCTGCCCACGACCACCGCTCGATGGAACGTTCGACTGCTCGGGATACTGCCCGCTGTACACACTTCGCTCCACGTATTTGTCAACAAATCCAAACACTGCAAGTCGTTGAACCGACTGTGCGTCTTGTCCACGCCGCCAAACACAAACATATTGTTGCCATAAATCACGGCCGTGTGGCGATACCGATGTGGCGGGCTACTGCCCTTGGTCTCCACCTGTCTCCACTCGTTCGTGATGAAGCTGTACTCGTGCAAATCATTCAACGTATCGCGTCCGTCCCATCCGCCAAACACCAGCAAACGATTCGTCTCGGCGTGCACGACGCCGCTGTGTCCAAACCGTCTCGACGGCATCAGCCCCAGCGGCTGTAGTCGATTCCAGCGCTGCGCGTGCAGGTCGTAGCCACAGAGATCGTTGAATCGAGCCGAGCCGTTGTAGCCACCAAAGATGTAGATACTCGAGGCATGCAGCACCATAATGTGGTCCGTACGCGCTTCCGGTCGGTCTGCAACAGCGCTTGGCATCTGACGCCATCGCTCGTCGTCAAAGTTAAAGTAGTACAAGTCGTTAAAGTAGTTGCCGTCGCGGCCATCGTAGCCGCCAAAGATAAACATGTCGCTCTGATGGACCACGCCGAGCGCGCCCGAGCGTCGAGGCGGAAGCAGGCCACGCGTCTGTACTTGCGACCACGTGCTCGAGGCCAAGTCCAACTGGTACAGATCCTGCTGCCGTCGTCGACGATCCGTGCCGCCAAAGACGTACACGCGGTTATCTACACGGCGTTCCACAAGAGATCATCGTAGAATGAGCACATTGTCACACGCTGCTACTACTACAACTTGCATCGTACCTTTGCTGGAGACGGTGTGGCCCGTACGTGGGCTATAGACGTCTCCGTGCGGCTGCAGCTTCTCCCACGCACGCACTTCGAGACGGCTGAGGCTAGTGGAGGCACTAGCAGTGGCTGTTGTCTCGCATACGAGCGTCTGCACGTCCTTCTCGGCAGTGGTGATTGATAGTATCGCCATTCCGAGTCGATTGGCAGAGTGACTCTGGGGGATGAGGGGGGATTAGAAGGAGGTACTGGTACGACCCAAGGGTAGTTGGGTGGTGGTCGGATCGAGTCTACGCAGCTCGCGCTCGATTCGTCGAATGCCAAGGTCTTGGATCGAGGCCACGGCGTCGTCGGTGTCAACAGCCAGGAGTTTCTCAGAAAACCGTTTTGCTCCTGCTTTTGCCGCTTTAACGCACTTGCTGTCACCTCGTAGAGTGAAGAGAACGGTTTTAGACACGCGCGCGCACGGATGCGGACTGGAAGAGTGATGGTCGTGGAAGTTTCCCTTTGGAGAGATGGGCAGGATGGACCAGTGCGCACTCCCTGCGCGCTTAGTATAGCAAATCCCGCACTGAAAGGGCTCGAGGGCACACTCAGTGCGGTCAAGTGCGCATTGCTGTGGCTTCTGTTTTTCTTTCTGTCTTTTCAGTGCAACCACTTGGCTTCACTATGTGCACGACTTGAAGGGGCCGGTGAGTGATGTGTGATACACAGACTTTGGACATTGCGGCGACGTTTGTCTGCGACGTGTGTTCACATGCGTATTGTAAGGCAGTGCGCACAACGGCGCCCGTTGTGTGTGTTTTCACGCTGGCTGTTTATATCCAGAGAACTGGGACGGAAGAAGAAGGCTGCGATGCTGCGAGACATCTGGACGCATTCTTTTGCCTGATCAGTTAGCAGCCCGTAATGAGACCATTTAGGGGTTTTGCAGGTTCAGATGATAAAAAACGGCTGGCAACGGCAATCGCGGCCTGAATCTGATCCAATCGTGCATGGACAACTTCGTCGCGGTTGTCGTGTATGTAAATAATTGCTGCTTCAGTTTAGGGATCGTTACACTGTTTTTGCTGCACATTCCTTGCCCATAATTAGAAACACAAGTTCTTACCAGCACACTTTATTGCAAGTACATGGACGCATCGTAGAAAGAGTAGCACAGCTGAACCGAGAACCTGTCAAAAGATTGTAGTCAGTTGACTCAAGAAACCATAGGAAGGCGTGAAACTATTTGCGTAGATTCAGCGTGCACTGTCGAGCGTACTAAGAACAGCAAGAAAACGACCGTGACTCGAGGTCCTGTATAATTTGATCTCCAGGAGACGCAAAAACGAGGCACTTTGTCGGAAACGTTTGTTTGTTTTGCGAGATAAAGTCGCTTTTTCCCGCGACTGTGGGAAAACAATCTGGTCAGGCCTGCACGTGACTGCAGCCATTCGACTTCTTGTTCATCCGAGGTAACTAATTTTTAAAACTGCTTCCATTACGGACGAATAAACGATAATGATACGCCATGGACCGTTGGTAGCACAAGCATTGGCGTCTGAGCCTTACTGCGCCAAGTCCACATTCCAATCAGATCGGACTTTACTGCCATCAATGAACTGATTATCCATCACTTCTGTATGTTTTACAAGCCAACATGGCTGGTAGACAGTAGCTCCGTAATCTAAGCTCAGATTGTTACATCTGACAAAGACTTGATGCTTGTACGCGTATTGGTTGCACTAGAATACCGTTTTTCAGCATCTATCGCTCTGATTGTCAAATTTATTGCTCATTGCTTGTAAAAAGCACCTCTCGCAACAACTTATTCATATCCAGAACTTGATCTATCACCGTTCGTTCGTGACAGACAGGCACTGCAAAAATACATCAAAGACGTGTCCACACAGTAGACCACATTTACCGCGTCGTTTCCCGCGATTCCGAAGTGAAAGGTGGACGCAAGAGTTTGTCTGAGAACTCTGCGCGCACAATGTCTATTGATGCATTCATCAATCTTGTCAAGCATTAACAAGATAAAAGACATCCTTTCACTCCATTCGGAATCTCTGCGCAATAATACGGTAGCAAAATCAGCATACGACCGCGTGCGCCCGACTCAGAACTTAATACACTACCAGACTACATGCTCCACTGTAAACTGACTGCTCGCCCAGCTTTTCGTGCTCTGACTCATAAAAGTTGAGCCAAAGCTATGCTTTACGACAGGCTCGTCGTTCCCAACAACCTGACCAAAACCTCCCAAAATTGTCTGCCGCGAAAATCCAGTTTACGACATGACTCGGTTGCGCATACAAAATGCAAGTCACTTGGCGTCTCTCCCACACCCTCAATCGAAACTAGACAGTCGCAAAAGAACGCTACGGCACGGAACTATTACCAACTGCCAGGAGTAATAGTCGTCGTCGTCGTCTACCGACTGAGTGAGTGACTGACTGGCTGCTCTCATTCGCTAGGAGGCGTCTCCCCCCTCTCTCTCCGTGACGATAAAGAACGGACGAAACCGACGGAGCAATAAAGCATACAAACGCCCCCACACATTTCCACAAACCCGGCCACAAGTACTTCCCCAGTATGAGGCGAGTTTCGGTACTTGGCGTCCGTCTGGCGACGCTCGCCCTCCTTACCCAGATCCTGATGATGACGTCAGCGACCGCCTTGTCGCTCCGTAGCACCAGTGGCAGTGAGGACGCCACTGTTGCGGAGCTATTGGCCAATGTCCAAGCGGCTGTGGTCGACGACCCGGCGCTTGCCAATATGTTCGACATCTCGAACGCCAGTGAACTGAGCGAAGAGGAGCTCACGTCGCTTTTGCGGGACCTTCTAACCTCGAGTGTCATCGGCACGTCGAGCGCCAGTGCAAGTGGGAGCGGGTCGGGCTCGCTCGAAGGGTCGATGGAACGGCCCATAGAAGATGGTGGGTCAGCGACGGGTCCGACAGACCCATCGGGTTCTCTAAAGAGCTGCTCGCTGTCCAGGACAATAGCAGTCTTGGCGACTGTTGCGGCACTTGGTGTGGCACTTGTGTAAACTACTAGGACCAGGGATGAGAGCACCAGCAGACGAGGCAGATGACGATGAAGGAAGGAGGAAGAGGGAAATCTCTGGCGGAAACCACCACGAGGCAAGTGGGGAAGTTTCCGACTGTGTTTCCTTCGACACCTCTGGCGAGTGGGTTCTTTCTATCCACTCTTTTCGACACGTTTTCACGACAACCAGACGGCTCGTTATCGCATAGAGCACGCACGCACGACTTGACATAATACAGGCCTCGAAGCAAGTTTAGTTTATTTTTGTGACCACGCATGAATACGAGTGTTTCATTCGTTCGATTTTGGGGTGTCTGGCTGCTGGTTGCACTTGTCCGTTGTGTTGTTTTGAGGTGTCCATGGTAATACTGCTTGCTGGTTGCGTATGCTCATGATCGACTGTGAATTATTAAGAAGCGAAAAAGCAAAGAAACAGTCGCTGGGTCGCGCGTAAAAGCATTATCTCGGTCAACGTAAAATTCCGAGAACTTGTGACGAGTAATTTCATGATACAACGTGCGTCCTCTCCTTCCATCAAAGTTTTGTTTGATGAGAAGCTACTGCGGTCGGTTCGAAGATGTGAGGGAAACAATGAGATTGCTTTATTCATGTGAACATGACATCGTAGCAGTTAGAGAAAGAACATTCTGGCGCTCGGAATAAAAGTGCAACATGGGTAATCATGATGTTAGCCACCACAATCGCGTATTGGAACGTCGATGAAATAGGAAAGCCAAACGGTATGGAGATGCTGTAGGCAGAATCTGCGCTGCAAAATGCACGAGCAGAAGATAAACGAAATGCCGTGTAGAAATGATCGAAAAGATGAGCTCTTGTTTGGCCGAGGTGATGCTTAATATCATTGTGGTGTAAACGTGCTGGTCAAATTCTGCCTGTGGAGTGATTGTATGATCGATGTAGTTTAGGTTCATGTAGGGCCATCATTGACACCTTCAATGTATTGCTGTAAAGCATCAAGATCCGGAGTTTAAGTCTTATCTAGGGAAGAGTACTTTGTTTATCCCCTGGATGTATCGACGTGATCGCCATATGACCAAGAGGTTGAGCGAACATCGTTGTTTTACTGTCACAATAGACAAGTGAAGACTCAAACACATTGATATCCGTGCTGCATAATTTCGCGATAATTTGATTTTTCGATCGGAAGATATTCAGTGTATACGAACTAGAACTGTTTTGCTGTAACAAATCGACAAGACACGCGTATAGTTTCCCGGTGCTCAAAATTTGGGAAGACGCGTTTCGTGAGGTCGTAGTACTCCATAGCAAAAGCAAGATCAATGTGCAGTCAGCGTAAAGCGACAGCATTTGCGCTTTGCTGACTAGGTCGTGATGCATCGATCTGTCTGTATACGACCTTCGCCTTGGGTCCGCTGCACAAAACTGGAAAGAATCGATTGCTTCATGCTGGCAACCCCATCCCCCGATCAAACCTACGCGTCCTCTATCTCTACGCTTTCAGAGTTTTTCGTCAACCTATGTTAGCTGAATATGCGAGTAGTCGCTGTTACCAAAGTTCTCGAAGCAACGGCGACACACGACGACACTTGTTGTGTGGCCACTGAAAGTCTCGACATTTTCCTTTGACCAACACGAAGCACACGCACGATACATGCAGATCTGGCACCTTTTCGATCGACGCGTTGGGGTATCGAGTACTTTGAGTCGAAGACGTTTCGTACACGCGACGCACCTTGAAATATTTGCCTCTTCGTTCTCGCGGTACTCAATCCCGGATCGACTGCTAAAACTGCCTTGTACAATCGATTGATTCGCCTGACGCTGTCGCAGTAGCAGCAAATCTGGAAGGCGATGGAGGCTCCTTGCAATGGCCATCAACCTCGTGCGTACGGTCTCCGAGTCCGCGTAGCCTTCTGGGATACTTTTAGGGGCACTAAAGGTCGCGTGAAAGCTCACTCGGGAACGAGGACCAGCGCAGGCTTCCGTCTCAGGCACAGGTTCAACTTGATACGAGGCCGTGATCCCGTGCAACTGGGTGACCCGCTGTTTCTTCATTTTCCCAGCAGTTAATTCGCTTTCCGGCATCGAACTCAGTACGATAGTAAACCCCATGGACTCGTCAGCATGAGCAGCTGATACAGTGGAAGATTCCGTCGATCCATTTGTCGTGAAGAGACTTGCTGCTGGGGTCATCGTGCGAGGTCGATAATGATCAAGGAAGCACCACTCTTCGTTCCGTGCAAATCGTCGCGAGTGAGCAAAACATGCCGTTCGGACTGTCGCGTGGTCGCCAGCAGAGACGTGAAAGTCCTCTTGCTTCAGTCTTATACCCTCATTCTCATCATCTAAGTCTGGATTGAACCTGTGAGGCTGCACCTCATGGACGATAGATCCGAAGATGAATTGATCCCCGAAAAAGTCTCGAGCCACCGCGTTGTACTCACTCTCTGTTCGCGAGCGTAGCAGGAGCTCAACGTCCCGTGGATCACAAGCTACTTCGCCCGTCGTTAGGACTTCAAAGTCTTCACCTTTGTCCCCCATGCGTCGTGACAGCATGGCAAAGCCGGCAATATCTTTGCAGTCCCACATGACAGATGGCACGCGGAGCAGTCTCGTCTTCCGACATATTACGCTGGCTTGACACGCCCGAGAGACCAACGTTGCGTCGGACACGCGCACTTTGCGTGACGCGGGTACATACTCCTTCGATTCGAAGCCGTCGTGCCACGGCGACATGATTGGGGAGAGTCGATCCGTTGGAACGGTGCAGGTTGAACTAGTCAAGTGCGGTCGCTGTCGAGTCGATAGTTGGATCGAGTCTGAAGAATGGCAGCAAGTCTCGTCGACATTCTCCAGCCGCATCTCTAGGTTACGACCTTGTGGTTGTTGTTGACTCAAGGCATGGTCATGGACCTCGTTTATCGTTGTCCGTTTTCGACTCGGCAGAAACGACAAGTGGAGTTTCTGAGGCATGGGATGTGTATCTTGACGTTGTCGTCACTTGAAAACGAAATGATAAATGAACTTGTGCGTGTGTTTTTCTTCTTTGTTTATCGATGCAGTGTGGGCGTGCGTGTGACTCGGGAAGTAGGCAGGTGGAGCAGGTGAGTGACTTTTGATTGCTCTGGACTGCTCGCTCGTAGTACGCAGCAGTAAGGAATCGTCAGTCACAGAAATCATGCGTCTCCGAGTGAGTGAGATTTTCAGAGAGCATCTCTACGTCAAAGCTCGTGGCCAGCACTCGTCCGCGTGCTAGAGAGTCGCAGCTGTCTCTTCTGGGTCGAGATATACTTTACAAAGTGATATCGACGATCCCACAGCACCCCAAAGAGCCAAAGGTAACTCAAGACGTGCATGTCGATGCTAGTGATAACGTTGCTACTGCCAGTATCCCTACTACGTCTTTGCTTCGATATGTAATTGTACCAATCGATTGAGGTCATGGCCCGTGATGTTCTTTCGCGTTCGCAATTATTGCACTGGGTTTCTCTCACTAGAGTAACGCTCGGCACCGCTAGTCGTTTGGGTTTCTCTCATTGATAACAATCCCAATAGCTTCTGTGCGCGACTTACGACTATACGAAGGGCATTGAGTCGATCGATACGTCTTCTCTACTTGCTCTTTCTACTGACTCGAAGCGTCCCACGCATCCAGTACCGAGTCAGGACGAAACGGTTCGCTCGATACGGTACTAATCTACGAGTATGGCCACTGCGGAAAGATGCAGAGTTACAGCCATCTGCATGTCGTCACACTTTTGTGCTACTTGTGACGTAGACAAAGCCATGGCTGAGAGAGGTCCAAGTCAGAGCGTGCCACAAAGAAAAGCGCACGTCGCTGCTGTGTCCGTAGGATGTTCCAAACTAAAAACTGCAGCTCAACCGTGAGGCCTTCGCACAATATCAGAGCAAGTGGAAGCAGGAAGTGGTCCTGACAATGTAGGTGCATGAACCGAAATACAGCTAAACAAGTACTTGTAAGAGTCGAAAACAGTGAAAAAAAGACTGGAACTTACAGTCAAATGAAGCTCGAGTTTACATACAACTACGCACTCGCATCGCCATCGATACATGCATCGATACCATTAAAGTCTTCCTTCCTCGTTCAAGCTTTCACTCACGAGCTCTTTGACTAGTGCATTTTGTTGCCTCGACTTTGATTCGGATAATTCGGGATGCAATCTCGCCAAAGCGAACGAGCATATCGTACTGCGTTCGTGTAATGTCCATGGCTGAGCTATGGACACAGCAAATGGAGCCCACCATCATCCCATCCGGACCTACAACGGGGATGCCACAGTAATACTTGGCGCCTTGGAACTTGACCGGATTGAGGTTAAAGAAGCGAATGTCAGCTTCCGGGTGTCGCACAATGAAAGGAGCGTCGCCCATGACCAAGTGTTGGCAAAACGTATGTTCCCGAGGTAGCAACGTTTGCACGAGTTCCCGCATGGTACAGCTCAGTACCAATTGATGCGTTGCACCTACAATTGCGACCATCGTGCAGAAGAAGCCAAGCTCTTTGCCCAAAAAGGAGCAAATGATGTCCAACTCAGGCATCGGATCTTTCCAGTCCATAAGCCCAAGCCGATGTACACACTCGAGTCGAGCAACTTCATTCTCTGGAATTGGAGCTGGTGGCGATACAAAGTCGTCCGTTGGCTGCAACGCATACGCTCGTTGCTGCGAGTTTGCCAGTACACAGTCTTCAGCTGCAGGTGCTTCCCTTGCTCGTCGTTCAAAGTACTCTTCCACTGCAGACAAATACCTGTTCTCCTCGCCTCCTTGAGCTTTCGCTCGATCTTTTTCCAAAGCTTCGTCTGTAGTTATCGAGCGATCCAAGAGCATCTTGATCACCGTCACGGCTGCTTCTTTCGTACTCTCAACCGCCAAGTCGTCCCGAAAACCCCGACCGAAAGACGGTCTGGACTCAGAGTCTCGACTTGGTGCAGGGTCGTCGACAATCCGCAGAGGACCTCGACTCCCGTCCTGGACGTTCGAGTAGTCGCAACGGTCCACCCATTCCAGACACCGGTTGCACACACCAAGAGCTACAATGTATCCGTTGGTAGTCTCAATGTTCTCACGGGACCAGCACGCTTTACAGACGTTATAGGCACAAAGTTGACACCGTCGAGCATTCTGCATAAACGCACTCAGTCGAATGCCTTTTGTGCACGAGATGCAGCGTGCATTCTGTCGTTTCGTTGCAGGTTGGAGGCCTACGACCGATCGGGTTGCAAACACCTGAACCCCCAAACGCCGACGTCGCACGACTGCAGGGAGTCGAGGGATGCCTTTGGCCAATGCGACTAACCGCGCTCGGGTCACCTTGTCACTCGCTGAAGAAGCAGTTGAAGGGCTAGAATGCTGTCGTTCATTGGAGGATGCAGCGTAAAACGTTACGCGGAGTTTGGTCGAGTTGCCATCACTAACATCTTTGGATACGGCAGGTACCGTATCAACAACCAGGAGCGTCGAGATGCGATCGAGTTGGTCCACACGCCCTTCAACAGCTTTTCCAGCTGCCAACTCGTGCTGTGACAAGGACACGCGAGAGATGGAAAAGCCTGACGGGGTTGACTCGGTTATCAGAGACGATGAGGGGGAAGATTGAGGTGAGGTCCCTAATGTAGTTGGCTGGAAATAGTCGAGGAAACACCATTGCTCATTGCGTCCGAGCATCCTGGATCTGGCAAAACACCCCGTTTTCACGGACAAGTAGTGGGAAGCTGGGATCAAAGCTTTCGAGGCTTTTGTGTTGAGCTTCTGCACGACTGAGCCGTAGATGAACTGACGGCCGTACACGGCTTTCATGGTGACGTTGTAGTCGATTTCATTCTGTGGATAGAGCACGGAGACGAGTTCTTGCGGACTACAAGCGATGCACCCGACAGTTAGGACCTCGAAGGGGGTCGCACCTTTGCCTCCGTTCTGCTTCATTCGACTCGAGAGCTCAAACGTCTCACGTCGAGCAGTGGCGCTGAGCCCGATACATGAAAGGTGTCGAGTTGACTCCCAGGAACTAACAGGGTCGGATAAGGCGGTTTTGAGAGCGAGGGTGGACTCGCTTTGGTGGATGCGACCGAGGAGCTCCTCGTCGCTGATCAAGACTTTTCGTCGAGGTTCTTGAGGAGACAAGGACGTTGCAGTGCTTGTGTTGGACGAAGAGCTCGTCGTTGGGGTTGGACTAGAACGGGACGTGAGGAGCGGCATTGCGGTCTCTGGGTTTTTAAGGGACAGTGACGATTGAGGAACGAGGCAAAAGGTGAAGTGAGAGGTGAAAGGACCGAACGAGCGGTTGATGGTGCTTTGGTTTTGCTTTTTCAGCGTGAAGTGCGAGTAGAGACGAAGGGATTGAGGAGGTAGGCGGGATTGAAGAACCACTGACCGACGCTATTGCAGCCATTTGCGGCTTTCCACTACGCACGACGGGCCGAGTGTCGACATTTCTATGGCTTGGCTTTCTCGAGGCAATTGCGATGGTCGTTTTCTTGTGCAGGAGAAAAGAGCGACCGAGGATCTGCTTTGGTGATGGGAACGTGGCTAGAGCGATCGGTCGAACTTATCATGGGGTCGTTCGAGTATTGGAGCGGTATCGGAAGGGTGTAAACTCTTGAGGTTTTCTAGCAACGGGGTATCAGTGGATACAGTTGTACACCTTCTCGGTCAAGACCTGACAGATCGGATGTGAGTTCTGATGATCTAATTCATTCCCTGCTTGAAGTCTCCACTAAACACTCGAAACGCCACTCATACATACGATGCTGCTGAACAGAGTGGCGAGTGCGCCCGAAGAAGCTTCAAAAAGTGCACCACCTATAGTGGGTAAGAAGCCCAAATGCGAGATCCTCGGCCCCTTTTTCTTGCAAAAAGTGAGAGAAGACACGTACGAGTCGCAACGTAGCACTCGAGACCTTCTTTCACAAGGAAGTACAATAATGATGGACACGATCGACGCTGAAAATGCGTTCACTTGGTGCTTGAGATATATCTGCACTTCCAGCAGATAGGGATTGAAAGGAATCGAAACTCAGTCATTGTACCAGCTTCACAGTGGTGGAAAGACACAGCCCAACTTGGACGGTACGAATCCGTCCACCTCTTCTCGTAAAAAAGTCGCGAGCTCACCGCGTCGTTTGATAGTTTGCCGACTGACGAGGTTAATGTCCACGGCACAAACCCACTGTACGACATCAACGTGACGGTTCACCATTGCTTCGAGTAGCCCATCAGTCGAAACGAAGCTCGTTTCAACTCTTGTTGATGCATTCACCAATGACGGGACTTCTTCCGTTATGATGTCCTTCTCTTTTGTACTTGGAAGATCAACGACTGCTTGAAGCCAACGCAGCACACGCAATTGGCCGTATCCAGCAGCAGCATCCGCCATAGACTTGACAACCGCCATCTTACGAGAACTGCTGGGCACATGTTGGAAAAAGGTAAACATCTCGTGCAGCCACGCTAAAATTTCAAGTTGACCAGCTTGCGCTGCGGCTAGTAGAGCGTCTTTCCAGATCGCCAGTCTGCCTAACTTTGCATGCAGTTCGGCTGCAGGCACGTTCAAGAAGATCTCGCAATTTCCACAGATCCATGTCACAACGTCAAGGTGACCCATTGCACTTGCTACCTGGAGAGCATACTCGACTCCATGCTGTCGAAATCGACCTTCCGTTCGTCGGGGCTGGAAGGTAAGAAACACATACGTGAGGTATGCAAATTGCCGATACTTCACGCCCCATTTCACGATCGAAGAGTCACCCATGAGTGTCGGACTATGTGTTTGAAACCATTGAAGCGTGGGCCCCGCTTTGGTATATCGCATGATTGCTGTGAACGTCTGCTTTGTAAATAACTGCGGATGCTTTACCGAATAAAGATGTTTCAACACGAAGAGGTCTCCACGTTGGGCTGCCCATAACGGCATCCACTCGAGTTGCAAACACATCTCAGGACAATACTGTAAAACAAGACGTACGAACTTGGTTTGCCAGTACGGACTCGTCTTTGCTGGTAAAGCCCATGTAAAAGGATCAAATCGAGACCGCCTGTCATCCGTAAGTGTTCGGACACTGGTCATGCGGCTACTTACTCCATTCCCAACAGGTTTCACGTCACTTCCAGTTGTAGTCGCACTCGATAATGCAGGAAATGCAATACCAGCGGCAAGTGAAGACTCTGCGCTGGTTTCTCCATTAGTACCTCGAGAAGTATCAACTGCAGCAAGTAGATCCTCATCAGTCATGCTTCGACCAGCTGCAGAATGCGAGACAATCTCAAGCTCTTTCACGAAATGGGTAAAGCTCGGCATGGCCAACCGGTGCTGTAGTAACCACTCAATCATGTCAAAGTGACATAGTTCTGCACAACGATACAGCGTAATGCCATCGACGACATCGAGCGGCCGGGCACAATCCGTTATTGAGCAACTATCAAACGATACTCGTCGCTCTAGTGGAAGTGTCAATGACAATTTCGGCAGCATTGTGTCGATGGCGTTGGAAGTCACAGCACGATTTCGCCGCTCTCGCACCAACACGATATCCTCCGATCCAACGGAAGGCTTGTCCATTCGCTTTTCAATCCATTTCGCCATCGCGACATTACCTGTACAGGCTGCAGCAATCAGTACTTGCGGTGACCAAACGTTGAGCTGCTCGACAACAAAAGCCAGCAATTCAACGTTACCACTTGCAGCTGCCTTCTCTGCAGCTGTACAAGACAAAGTGGACTTCATCTCAATTGGCACTCGCGCTGCAATGTACTTGACAAGTTCCACGTGACCTGATCCAATAGCAGCTTCAAGTGTGCGCCGATCTAGCGGCATCCTCATCTCTCGATGAAGATACTGCAGCGTCTTGATCATGCCCTGAGCTGCCACACTTGATAAAAAGGCAGGCGAGCACGAGAACCGCGGAAAACGAGGCGCTAACCAACGCAGCACCTCCAAATGTCCATTCGTAGCTGCTAGATCCAGCACCATCGAGCGACATCCGTCACTGCTTCGATGTTGATACAGCCACTGCACAACTTCTAAATGGCCATTGCCTGCGGCACTGCACATACCAACTGCTGTGCCTCCTTCCCGTCGATTTGCATGCAAGAACTTGACAATATCCAAATGTCCATTAGCTGCAGCCATATCCATTGCGCGACTCGTACATGGCCAGCGTCCATCTTCATGTAACTTCTTCACCATGACCAGATCCCCTTGTGCTGCAGCTGTATCCAATGCGCGATACCGTTTTCGACCCAGAGACGTTGACAGGGCGTCTGCATCCGTCCACGATAACAAAGGGTCTCGCTGATCAAACACATCCGCCAGGAGACCTGCTCGTGATGCAAATACTTCTCGATAACATCTCTGCAGAGGAAAGACTGCGACCCAATTCAACACCTGTAGCTTCGTCTCCAGTGGCTGCACCATATGCACCGCAACTAAAGTGTCGTCACCTCCTTCATCTTCTTCATCGTCTACTGTCTTGTTGGTATTTTGTACAGAATTGCCCTGTTCATAGAGCCACATGACCACTTCAAGTCTCCCGGTTGAACCGGCGTACTCCATTGCTCTGTATCTCTCGTACTGACAACAGCAGTGTAGCCACTTGACCACATCTTGATCGCCTTGTCGTGCAGCTTCGTACATGACCTCAGCTGGAAACTCATACTCGATATTACGAACACACCAAGCCAAGACTTTTGTCTGAGGTGAAGTCTTCTGAGCCATCCAGATCCTGGTCCTCTTTTGACCCTTCTGACCGCAATTCTCACGCTTACCGAGCCCCCGGTAGCTCAATTGAAAGCGTAAGAGACGCTGAACAACTTCAGCACATCCGTATGCAGCAGCACAGTGTAAAACGCTTGTAAAACGCTGATGAGCGTCACCGAGAGACAATACTTGGTTATGGGCATAGAGAAACTTTACAAGCGTCTCGTTTTCTACGGCAAGTGCGGAGACCAATAGACGAACAGCTTCACGAGAGGAGAGACACGATACAATGGACGTGAGTGCTGTCTCGGTACCTAGAAGCCGATGCCAGCGCCGATGAGGTGTCATACAAGAGACCGTAGGAATAAGAAGCAGGATAAGGATGATGATTACTATTGTTATGCTGCGACTGGAGATGATCAGGGTGATTATTATCAGTGGCGACGAGAGACCGGAAGACAGGCGGCCGGACCTGGTAAATCGAATACCGACTTATGGATGTGAGGGGTCGATTAAGGGTAGAAAAAGGTGGGAGCTGCATCGGGAAGCCGTCGTCGTCGTCGCGCTGGACGCGTCGTCAAACGGGCCATTGTTCTTTTATTTGTCGAGCCAGCAGCCATCTGATTCCGCCCTATGTGGACGTTTGTAAACTGCTCGAATGTCGATTTGTGGGTACCGTTTATACGGTATTGTTATGCTGGAATTGCCTAGTGGTGCTATCCGTGATCGTTCGTATAACGACTCGATGAATTATGTTTTAGAGGTCTTGGCTACAGTGGTGTGGATACTTACGAACGAATTTGTGAGTAGCAGAGGATACCGCGAGCGGGGATCGAATAGGCGCCATAGTACCGACAACTCGATACATTTGCTGTTTATTCTCTCGATGGCCAACCAAGTTGATTGTGTGTAAACAGATGGGGCGATGCATGTGCAGACGGTTTTTTTCGTGCTGCATTTTGCAGACGAGGGCCGTTGTCCACATGCAAATTGCTACATCATCTTCTAGTGGGTGTTGCTGTCATGCAGAAGTAGACGTGGGATGAAGCAAGAAAACCCAGTCAAGTGGTAGATCGCATACAACTTGATCGTGCTTGACGTATTGGTACACTTATACTAGCTTCGGGCGATCTGAATCAAGCGCGTCGCGTTTCTAGCTCTCCTTAACGCGACCGTTTTCCACTACCTGCCCGATCACTTTCCAATATGCGCCTTCGGGCAACAACGGCTAAGCGACGAAGATCTCCAAACAGCTGGGCGTCCGGCCTTCTCACTTTGGGTGGGAAGTCCCCTATCGTGAGGCCCAGATTAAAGGGGGGAGGCCTTCTTGCCGCTGCGTGCGCTACGGGATGCAGCGCAGCGTGCAGACCGAACGTTCTAGGCAATTTTGCTTCCCGAGCCCCACGAAGCAAAATTGCCTAGAACGTGATCAAGATCGGCCTAATCCAGGTGCATCAGCGGCCCATCGGTACTCGGCGTTTCCTGCGACTTCAGCGCCCTGTTTGCACCCCGGACTGGATGTCCGATTCCACATGCCCTTTGCGAAGTGTCCGCCGTGATGACCGAAGAGTCGAGCCAAGCAGACTAAGCCGGCGGGGAGAAGATGATGTAGTTTAGGCAGAGCACATCGATATCGTAGAGGGCATCAGCACTTCATCGATGTTCAGGATTTACTACTTAAAATGTGGTTAATCCCACAAACAAATACCAGACGAAGCTTCAAGTTCGTCTTGCAGTCACAGCGACGATACTTTATGACGAACCCGGTCGCTCCTAGAGACGCAGACTGGACAATCGCTTGTCTTCCTTGTCAGCCATTTATTCGCCTGGCCTCACCAACGTGGCGCGAATAAAAAGTAAGAAAGCGACCTTTGTTGTGGTCGTGCTTGTCCGCATTTCAGCACGAAGTACATGCGTCTGTATCAGCGACACTGCCAGCCACTTTTATCGGCAGATGGGTACAGACAAATAGTCTGTACCCATCTGCCTCAATCCACCTCAATTTGGAGTAGCGTCATTAGCAATCGAAAATGCGGTGTCTGGATGACGAGCCAACGCTGGAAGGTGCGGCAGAAGGCACTGCTAAGGCCACAACACAAGTACGCGAACGAACATTCTACTATGTGAGGGCGGCCATACAGTGAGTGATGTGGCTAGGCCGTTTGACCGCCGTTTGACAGAGAGGAACGATGGATACCTAGCTAGAGTACAGAGAGTTACAGAGCGCAAGAATCACAGCAACCGGTAGCGTGGATTTACAAATGTAAATCGTAGCTCGCTGCCAAATCGAGGCAACGCGAGTAACGAACTGTCAACTCGCTGACTTACAGCCGTCTGCAATGGAGCTCGGAATGCTTGTTTCACACAAGCAATCACCACCTGTTCCATCGCACACTATCACTCTTCTCACGTTTGTAAGCAAAACAAACAACGAGTAGCTAATCAGCAGGCAGTCAAATAAAAATGAGCTTCACTCGCTCGAACGTTGTGCGCAACGTCGCATCACACATTCTCGCACTCGATCGTGCTAGTTTCTTTACTGACGCGACAAAATCTCCATAGCATCGGCTTTCTCCTCCGTCAGTTCCGTGGCTGTCGCTTTCATCATTGCAGCGACACGCAACGAGACAGAGAGGCCATTGACAATTTCGTAGGTGCCGTTACCCGTGCACTTGACGGGGAACGAGTAGATGAGTCCCTCTGGCACTTCGTAGCGATTGCCGTCCGAACAAATGGCCATCGACACAAACTCGCCCTCTTTCGAGCCATGCAGCCAGTCACGAAGATGCGCACCAATCGCTGCTGCAGCCGACATGGCGCTCGAGAGTTTACGAGCTTTGATGATCGCAGCGCCACGTTCTTGCACGCCTTTCACCAGCTGTGTTTCAATCCAGTCCTTGTCCGTAACAATTTTATCCAGCGGCTCATTCTTGCCAGCACGTGGGAGCATCACCTCAGCGTGGGTGACGTCGGGCACCTGCGTGCTCGAGTGATTGCCCCAGATAATGACCTTGTTGACGTCACTTGACGTGATTTTGTGGCTCGGCTGCGCCTCGTTCACTTTCTCCACGAGGAACGAGCGCAGTCGCTCGTGGTCCAGACGCGTGAGCGCCGTGAAGTTTGCGCGTGGAATGCTCGGTGCGTTTTCCATCGCAATGAGACAATTCGTGTTGGCGGGATTGGCCACGACCAGCACCTTGACGTTGCGACTCGCGTACGTGTCAATGGCGTTTCCTTGTGCCTTAAAGATCGTCACGTTCTTCTCGATCAAGTCCTTGCGGTGCATGCCTTGCTTCCGTGGGAAGCCACCGACGAGAATCGCCACGTCGACGTCCGCGAAGGCCGTTGCAAGGTCCGAAGTTGGTGTGATGACGTCCACGAGGTCGAACATGCAGTCCTGCAGCTCCATCTTGACGCCATCGAGTGCCTCTTGAGCCGCTGGAATGTCCAATAGACGCAGGTCCAGGCGCTGCGTTGGTCCAAAAACGTGGCCCGCACAGACTAAAGACAAGAAGGAGCGGTTGGACGATTGCTACTGTATGGTTAAGTACGATATGAAGAGACACATGAGGGACGTACGGAGAGGCAGTAGCGAGTACGCAATCTGGCCGGCAGCGCCTGAGACGACGATCTTTAGGGTCGTCATGGCCTGATGACGAGAGTGATGGTCGTGTCTCGTTGTCTTTTCTTTCGCACCTACTAGAGGCGTCTGCACTTGAGTGCGCAAAAAGAGAAATGACGGTGGGAAAAGGCAGCAAGTGGTGGAACTTGCACTTGGTCAAGGGAAACAACCCCAGCAATCGTGTGATTGCTAAGTCAACTTCTGGATCCGCGTGCGGGGATAAAAAGGGCGTCATCTGTTTTGCGTTTGAGGTTTTTTTGAGGACAGTTGAAGGCGAAGCAGCCATGGGTTACTCGCTGGCACCAAGCACCACGGGTTACGGGTAGCGTGAAGCTAACGTATTTCAGTGCACGACAACGTGGCTTTGCAGGCGCTTCTTCTTATGTTGCGCGATGATGAGATGCTTACGTTGACGACCTGGACAGTCGCTTGCCTAACTAAACGAAGCTTAAACTGACTGATGCTTCCGCTGCGTCTCTATTTTCCGTCGCAAATGTTTAAAAAAGGTCCGACGGGCACTCGTCGTAGGTCAAGTTGTGGCAAGTATTTCCGATTGTCTCTAGTACAGCCAGTGGTACTTGCTGAATAGAATGACATCTGATTAGTCTAGTACAGGAACGCCGATCTAAACGTCGATGTGTTGTATCCGTGCTGCACTGAACGACCACCAGAAGTCGGATGCAGTCAACACAAAGTATATCCAGCCAAATAAACTCGCGACCACTTCGCCATTGCGTCGACATAAAGCCAACAGCGTCTGCTTTCGGTCGACTGAGTGTACAAAAGTGGGATCCCTGTTACTTTTTCTCACTACCACGATTCGCATCGTGGCAAAACCATCTTGTAAACTCCCTGTAACAATCGTCTCGATCAGCGTCTTTTGTGTGGAGATTGGCAGCCAATCTCGATGTGCGTGCGAGAGACACTGACGGGGTTCAGGACAGTAGAAACGGCTGGAGGAAAGCCGCTTCGAAATTTGTATGGGCGAAACGCCCTTGCAGGGAAAGTCTCTACTACCAAACTTAGCTATCCATAAAAAAAGGGTCAATAGGACAAAAATGGCCAAGGAAGTAGTCAATCGATTCATTCAGCTGCCAGGTCCTGTCCAGATATCGAGACGATGAAGCGTCGATCATTAGAAGGTCAGACAATCGCGTAGCTTCATGTTGTAATGGACGCACCAAACGGTAGAAGAAAAAAGCAGCGTCAAGAGTCACAGGTATCGTAACGGTTCTCCGATTCCTTGGAAAGTACAACGTGCGACGAGAACGACGGGAGGCCCGAATTCAGGTCATCTCCAAAGGTTCTGCTACGAACAAACTAGAGAGAGAGAGAGAGAGCTGTGCTCCTTTTTTCGAGGGTGTGGGTGTCTGACGCATTAGCGAGAGCAAGGATTTCCACCTAAATCAGCAACCAGTACTAGTTACTACGCTGCACCAACCTACACCCATCCACACGCCCAAGGTTGTGCGAGGATACTGTGTGCTGCCATCTTTACTCGACTTGTCTGCCGAGTCCCACATCCATTTCCCTACTGTGACCTCGCTCTTCATTGTGTTTGTCGTCCATTTATTTCGAGCCACGACCGTTGCGTCCGGAGGAAGGTGTTCATTTCAGCTCGAGTTTCACGCCCCTCGGTCTCCCGCCTCGACGATACTTTTTTTCTTGTTACTTTCAAATATGTCGACTGCAGTGCTGCCATCTCTTGAAAGAGCTCATTGCCAAGCTCCGGGGATGCTACTTCCCATCATCACATCAATCGCTTCACTGATCGGGTGCTTTTACGTCGTTGGGACTTATTTACGAGTCTTGGCATTACGTCAACACCCGGCTGGGATCATGTTTGGCATGAGTTTGTATGGAGCCATGTACCAGTTTCTGTATCTGCTGGATCAAGCCTCGAGTTCCGTGCAGTGTGGAGATATCGGCATCATTGTGGATTTCTTCCTTACGGGCCAAGAGACGTATATGCTTATCTTTGCAATCGACTTGCTGCTCGTGCTGAAGAATCCGTTCTCGGCTTCGAAAGGACAAATGACGAAATACCACATCTTTGGTGGTCTATGGAGTTTATTGTGTGCGGTGGTCTCACACTTTGACACGCGATACGCTCTCTTCGGCTTTTGCTGGCTCCGATCCAGTTGCGATATCCTCACGGGGTCACAAAATCAAGATGACGGGCCCCACATGTCAGACAGCACCATCAACTCGGGTGTGTTCTTTGCTTTGTACATCATCGTTGTGTACTGCACGTCGCTGATTGCAATTGTCCGCACGTGGAACACATTTGTCAAAGGGCTGCCGGACACGTTTCTTACGCGAAAGCGGATCCAGCGTCATCTGAAATACTACGTGGGCTGCTATTTCGGATACTGGACATTGGTCTTGGCATGCTACACGGTATTCAATTTCTTGCCGCATCCAGCTGGAACCGAAGGAGGGCTCCGTTGTCGAATGTGGCACATCTTGTCCTGCTTATTGCTTGCCAAAGGATTGGTGCATGCTTTGATATGGACACGGACGTCAAATATCCTACGGATCGTTCAGCAGCTTCGGATTGATGCGACTGAGGATTGTCCAACTCGAGACGAAAGCTGGGATGACAATATCAACTGGGCACTCCGACTGGAAATTCTCACGAATACTACCAAAGGAATTTGTCAGAGCGTCGATCGAGCTGAAGAACAAGCACGAGCGTCTATCGGGTCATCCGTTCAATTCGAGTCCACTGTATCTGTTTCGTCGCTCGAAGAAGGAGCTGTGGGTCGTTCGGTGGACTATTGTGATCGAAAAGAGAGCTACACTCAGATCGAAGAACTGATACTGGAAAACCGCAATGACAATCGAGCACATGGTTCACGAACGGAAGGTGTAGTCTTCAAGGACTTTGCACCTCATGTCTTTCGCCGTCTTCGAGAGGAAGCCAAGGTCTCAAGCGAAAGCTATCGCAATTCGTTGCAGCAGACTACCAAAGAGAGAGTGAGTGAGGGCAAGAGTGGAGCTTTTTTCTATTTTACTGAAGACCGCAAGTACGTCGTCAAGACCCTCACAAGTGAGGAGCTCAATTTTCTGCTAAGTATTCTGCCGCAATATTACACCTTCATGAAGAGGTACCCTGATACATTCGTGACACGCTTTTTTGGCTGTCACGGGCTCACGATGTACGGCAAGACGGTCTTTTTCGTGGTCATGCAGAGCGTCTTTGCTTCATCACTCCCTATTCACGAGCGCTTTGACCTGAAAGGTTCGTGGGTTGGTCGCCTTGAGGGTCGGAAGCCAACGGGTACAATTGCTGCCTGCAAATTCTGCAATGCGGATTTCACGGTTGGCGGGAGTCATGACCAGCGCTGCAATGTGCGTCGAGAAGGCAATATGAATCATCAGTACGACCAAGTTGGCAAGGATCTCAATTGGAATCGTCACATGGCACTGCCATATTTAACGGCGCGAGCGGTTGCAGTCCAGTTGACAACCGATTCCGAGTTCCTCTGCAGTATTAACTGCATCGACTACAGTCTGCTCGTAGGAATTCATCACCGCAGCTTTTACGTCTCGCATTACTCCTCCGCTGACAGTTATGACTCATCGGCGCTTGAAAGACACAAGAGTTGCCTCAGCATGAGTAGTCAAGCTCAAGCTGTTGACCAAAATGGTCGAAGCAACAGCAGTGAGGCTTACAGCTTAAGCTACATCCAAAATTGCAGTTCTGGTGCTGGGAAGCAGAAGCGTCGAGGCTACGATTGTACTTCTGGTACTAACGAGACAAAGAAGCCGCTTCAGCAATCTGCACATGGAGGAATGAGCGTGGACGAAGTTCATGGGCCAGGTCTGTACTATCTCGGACTCATTGACATGCTTCAGCAATGGAATTTCCGCAAGCGAGTCGAGCGCTTTGTCCGTGTATACATATTGCTACAAGATCGACTTGGCATCTCAGTGGCGAATCCACGACAGTACGCCGACCGGTTTCAGCAACGGGTGATAAAGGAGCTCATCTATGATGCAGCTGCTTTGCCCGGACGCGACCATCAAGACAGTGTTTCCTTCACGCAGCTGCAACTCCAGAACCAACGCAATGAGTTACTAGTGGGATCCAATCACACTTTGAGCACGATGATAGCTTCTTTGGACGGAAGTGCCTCGACATTTACCAGTCAACCCCCTACTCAGATCGACTCGTTTGCCAACATGATGATGTCGCCTAATGCAGGTGTCAATTTGAAAATCGAGAATTCTCCTTCGACACCTCCTCATGCGCCTGCAGTGTCACAGAAGAAACGAGTCGGAGCTTGTGGTATTTCAGCACGGCATCTTTCCTACTGTGCGGGGAACCGAAGTAGCTGCTGCAGTTCCGGTGGAATCGGGCGACTATCAGGTGGGTTAATGATGGAAGTTTCAGGTATTGGAGCCAACATGTCGGTTGTGTACCCAACCTTGGATGCGGTTCCGCCACATCTTCGCCGACCACTAGCTCCGCTGACACCATCCCCGCGAGCGTCGTTAGTCGTTCAAGGCGATTCGGAATTTGCTAAGATGAGTTCTCAGCATCCACACACCTCGAGTAGCTCGAAGGAGATACCCTATTGTGGACGACGACAAGGCAATGGCATGCACATTGGTAAAAGTGCTGCAAACGTTGTGCTTTTCGAAAGAGAGGTGCTACGACCGCAATCCAGTATCTCGGATTACCTGCCATACCATGTGCATCCCAGCGTTTCTTGACAGCAGCAATGATAATGCTGCTACAGTTTTTGTGTGAGAATGTTCATCGACTACGACTAATGTGTAGACCTCTGTACGTAATGATGTGTAAATGGAGAAATGATACCGATGATACAGCTTCGACGTAGGCAAAATGACGGGGGTTTAGGTGCGTATCAGTTAATACGTAAGTTCGACATCTATACAGGATGATCAATGCATTACCGAGCAGCATACTGCTCGGTAATGACGTTAAGGGCAGTTCCTTAAAGTGTCGATGGAGCAAAGCAATTATTGGAAAGTACACTGAGCTCGCTTGCAAAACTTCAGCTTACTCGAATAACTGCACGATGGCAGGTTTAAAGCACAAGCAGCAAGTGTTCTGATCACTACTGACTTCCTCTTGACTGCAGAAGACCACGTCGATGGAAAGGAAAAGGATGAAAGTGTCATGGCCAAAAAAGTCTCGGTGTTTTCTGATTGCGGCTATGACAGAGAAAAGTGCGAAGAAGTCCCACAATTAGAAGACACTTGTTCGCCAGTATTCGTGACTGTAGGGAATTATCGGCTTTCTTATGGATGCCCTACACTTCGCAATAAGTGGCGTGTTGTTCAAAAGGACGGCAAAGTATAGCTCCCTACTGCTTTGCCTGACGAAAGGTGAGTCAGATGACTAGGAACAAACTCCAGAATGATGCAGGTAGCGAATCCCTGCACGTGATATTGCCGCTGGAGTTTAATCCCTCATCAGTTACCATAACGTGTCTTTACTTGGTCGTAAACGGTTGGTACGTATCGTATCGATTCTCCGACGAGTCAAAGGTGGACTTCCAGAGCGTACAAATGTACAATCGGTTACGAAGGTACCAGTCAAGTTGGCCATCGGCATTCAGGAAGCGGTGCCGAAAGAAATATAAGTGAAATGTGAACATCACTGAAACTTGGATGACCGGTTTTTGATATCCTGATACGAAGGCAGCGGAGAGGAAGCGTTCTGGTAACAGACGGGACTGCAGCCAAAGTATCTATCACATACGGGCAGAAAGAAACCTCAGTTGGGGGTCTAATGAGGCAGGGATCACTATGAAAAAGATCTTGGTACTGAAGATTTACGATTTACAGCGCGCGAGCATTTAAGCTGGTGTAAAGAAATGATAGAAAGCAAGCTCTGGAGATCGTCCATCGATGTATCGGTATCCAGTCCAGAGATGAAAGTCAAGTTTTGGATATTCGCACACCCATATTCTAGTGGTTGAGTGAGTTTGGCGGCTGAGGAAAGAGCTGCGTGTTGTGAGGTGTCAAGCTAGTGTTCCCGTAATTAATGTGATAAAGCAATTTGATAGCGATACTGATGTCCCAGATGAATGATTAAGCGATACCATAGAGTAGAAAGCCAGGCATCTCCTCCATTGCCGACTGAGGATGGTTTGTAATGGCAAATGCTGCATGGCTGGGTTCACTTTTTATTCGGCTGGGTCATTATGATTCGTTTTCAGAAGTAGCTCTGAAATACGCCCAATTTCGTCAGGAGTAAATCTCAAATAATCGATTCATCATTACTGTTTACTCACTTGCCCATGCAAGTAGCACGAGGCGCACGCATTGAAGCACCGCTGAAGTCTGGCTTGTCCCCACGACGTTCACATCGACCACATCATGTCACGCAATAAGAGGCTGATTGCCGCTGTTTGCGGCACCAAAATTATACGTGTACACCTCCCTCAAATCCATAATCATCTACGGATGCGTCACTCGCGTACACTAATACGGCACCTTAAATAGGCGGCCTTGATTATTACCAGTTCGTGAATGACCGAGTCCTTTATCACCGATTATTCACCCAGCTACCATTTTCTCTTAGCGTATATTAAATCACTACTTCTTCAAATCCAACTACCTATCAGATACGCGCACATTTAACGAATTCCCTGTATATCTGAAGCTGATAGTAGGTCTCCATTCATAGCGTCTGCACAGGCTCAGCACTCCAGCACTTGACCATTCGGTTCTTATGACGTCGTAAGCGCCACAGCAGTTACATCATGAAGAATAGCCACGTATCTGACTGTTAAATGAGAATAAATCTGCGTACGCACCAGCTTTGCTCAGTACTCCATCTCTTAAGCTGTACTTTCGGATCAAAACATATTAGGTGCAGGCGCCACGACATCTATACAATTGTCTTTGGTGTCAGGATATCTCTTCTAGGGGATTGTAGCCGGTGAAAGATCAAGCTCGCCTTGCAGGACCTCCATGTCATCTTCCCCGTAATGAAGGAATCACCACCTTGATTGTAATTGGATAGATGCCTTTCTGCCAGTACGAATCAGCGTGTCTTCCAATCGGCTACACGGGCATGCAGGGCACAGTCTGGTTCATTATGAACATCTATTTACTCGAGTCGAAGGTGTTTGTGATATCTTCATATTGATACGACGAGGAGGAAGCGTCACGCAGGTGCATCGCAGACGGCTGCGGTGACAAAGCTGACCTTGCGGGCTTCCCAGAAAAATGTTTTGCACATACTAAAAACGCGCCTGTGTTGTTGTTGCTCATAGTATAGAAGTCCGGCCACAAGTAAGATGTGTAGTAAAGTTTTGTTCGCGAATTGCACTGATAAATTCATTTTGAGCTTTTCACGGGCAAGTAAGTAAACAATCATAATGAATTGAGTATTTGAGAACTACTCCTTGTAACGGGGCACCCTGAAGCTTGTTCTCATGACAGTACAAGCTTCTTATTCTGACGACAGAATAAGGCGGTGCCTCGGAACTTCACGTACACTGGTACGTGCAGAGGAAGACGGTAAGAAGAAGCGAGTACTTGGTTAAAGTAAAAAGTAGAACTGTATTTATAGTAGTTAATGTCCGTTAATAATCCACTGTTCATCCTCATCAAACTATGTCTAAATACAAATGTGTAAATCAATTATCTGCTCACCACTCATTGCGTGCGTCTGTCGTGGCGCGTCTTCGTTGGTTGATATAATGGCCTATACCAACCAATTAGGAACTACTCGTAAGTGCTACAGAATATTTGTCCTTATGACAATATTCTGAGAATATAACTCTTATAGTTATGTTCTATTAACAAATTCTTATAAATTGTTATGTAACGATTCACCCTGTTACATCACCCTCCCCTTACCCATCAGTCACTTTAGTGACTGATTGACTAAATGGATACTCGTCCCAAATCATTTGGGACGGGGTTTGCACTTGTTGGTCCGAGTCCACAGTCCATTCATTTCATCGCAATGTAAACAAGCCCATGCGGTGCGCGAACAAGGCAGCTAAGAGCGCGTCTGCACGTCTCTGTGCAGACGCCGAAGCAGAAACCGCTGCAACCGATGTGCCATCGGTTGCCATAGCGTCTCAGTCTGTATCACCTGGTGATGCAGACGCTCGTCACGAAGACACTCATGTCTTCTCAGAGTATGAGCTCGGTGTCTCATACTCTCCTGATACGGAAGAGGGATCCGTATCGAAGGCGATCGAAACCAAGCCGCCTGCCAAGTGTGGCATGGATGATGCTACTCGTCGTAGCATCTTCGTTTCATCTGACGAATCAGATGAACCATCGCCAAAGCGAAGGCGCTCTAGATCGCAAGACTCGGGCGCTCATAGTGGTGTCGGTTTTCCTATTGACACCACTTCGCAACGAGGTGCCAGTACTTCTGTCGGCACGTCGCAAGAAGAGAGGGACCGCAGTGTGTTGCGTCTCGCTCCCGAGAAGAAGGCATGGATGCCTCCTAAGTCCGTCATGGATCACTTGTCGGCGACGACGAGTGATCGTTATCGAACACGATTGTTCGATTCGTCAAGGATCCATCACCTTGACCCCAGTGCGAAAAACTATCGCGCTGAGAATGATTTCTTCATCGATGCTTTGTTTAAACATCGATGGTACAGTGGGAATCATAAGCGTGATGGTCCCTCACTGCTTCAAGCGTGGAACGCTTACATCCGTAACCTTGAGGATGTATGTCGTGACGTTTGGAACGACAAGCTTATCAAAGCTCGTGATAAGTTTGAAAAGCGAACCCCGACAGGTGCACACTACAAGCTGCATCGTCTGTCTAAGGAGAGTGAGTTACCCTGTCTCTCCTGGGGAGACTCGTGCCCATGTTGTGTAAACAACTCTGCGCGCGCACCTAAGGAGGCTTACCTCCCTAATAGCCCGTGGTGGCGCGTACGTATCTCTAGTGAGATGTACGAAGGGATTGACAACCTGAAATCCCTTCACGACCGTGCCGGGAAGACTTTCTCTAGCGGTCCTTCTGCGGCACAGGATGTGCCGCATCGGACTGCTCAACTAGACCCAATACGTCAATCATCAGTTGGGAGAGGGGCTCCCAAGTATCCCAGGACGGGGGATAGCCGCGCCACCGGACGAGATAACTCGTCCGACGTCCGTTCACGTCGCGATGGTTCAACAGCTGCTCAACTAGATAGCGCTGGCCACCGCGAGAGTCCTTTAATGGAGGTGGAGGAGGAGGAAAGACGCTCTTCACACAATCGTGGGGAAACATGTGTTTCCGAGAGCTTCTTTGCTCGCGTAACGCAAGGGTTACGTGGCGATCTCGAGCATGAGCGGGACAGGCGTCTCCAACTGGCGGACACTGTCTTGAAGCATCGAGATGAGTTTGCCTTTGCTCAGCTTGAGAACGAGAGGGCTTTGATATCTCTGCGCAACGAGCTAAGGGTAGGTCGTGTGGATATCGACCGGTCTCGGGCTGACATAACTGCTCTTCAGACCCTTGTCGATATCCACCATCGGGAGCACAAGGCTCTCTGCGAGATGCTTGAACGCAAGGGCGTTCTTCATCGGAAGAAACAGCGTACTGATGGTACGGCTTAAGCCGACCAAAGTAAAACGTGGGATGCGTTCGCATCTTACGTGGCATTTCGATTGTTTATGCGTTGCCTAGGAGATGCAATACACGAAATGGGCCAATTTACTTGGGTAGAAGTTTACTACTACCCAAGTTAGTCAATACATACTTTGGTAGATTAACCGTAGACAGTAGGACTAAGTCACCTGTATTAAATAAAAGATTGTTTTCCCTTCCATTCTTGTCTGCGTTTTGCTTTTGCTTATCCACCGCTCCGGAGATGGAGTCTTACCCAAAACGGACTACCGTTTCACGAGCCAGTATGAACTCATCTGCTGACTCGTTAGCTTCAGTGCGCTGTGGGTGCACTGCAGCGACATCAATCGTTTCTTCAGTGAGGGCTTCCTCGCTCTCACTGGCATCATCTTTTTCGATATCCATGTTGTCGATATCGGCATCAAACGGAATGACCTCATCGTCAGAGCGTGATGAGCGTGAACCAAGTCGGTTTTGCTCGCGCGAGTCCCTCCCCCCATTAAACCAGAGTTACACTCTAGTAAGGTGGGTACACGCGGATGGCGCAAGCCATTCACGTAAAACGGTGTATGTGTCGTGGACGCATGCACCGAGTTGTTGATGGCAAACTCTACCATCGGCAAAAACTCACTCCAACTCTTAAAGGAGTGTACGTATCCTCGAAGTATCTCTTCAAGGACACGATTGGCACGTTCCGTCTGACCATCTGACTCTGGATGATCAGATGTTGACATCTTCAAGCGCGTTCCGAGTGATTTGAACACGGAACGCCAGAAATCAGCAGTGAATCGTGGATCTCTGTCTGATACGAGTTCACGGGGCAACCCATGAAGTCGGAAGATGGTGTCAATAAAGACACAAGCACAGCCACTTGCCGTGATTGTCTCTGGTACAGCCACAAGGTGTACCATTTTGCTGAATCTGTCAACAAATACGAGAATACCCGTATTCCCGCGTGCGTCTTTGGGTAACCCGAAGACCAAATCCATTGAGATGGATTCCCAGCACTCAGCCGGAACCGGTAGAGGCTGTAAAGGTGCACGCAGTGAAGGACTTGACTTCACTCGTTGGCAGACTTCGCATGCGCGAACATACTTTCGCACAAACTGATACTGGCGGGGCCAGTAAAAGTCTCGACTTACCGTGAGATATGTTTTCTCTCGGCCACGATGTCCTCCTATAGGAGCATCGTGATACTCGAACATGATCCGCAAACGCAGATCAGTATCATCTGGAATGACAACACGTGGTGTGTCACCAGAAACGGCTGTATAATACAGTAAACCGTTACGAGTAGTGTATCGATCTGATGCAGATCGATACGCAGACGACAATCGTTTCAACGATTCTCGAGATGGTTGGGAGAGATGTGACAACAACTTCACTATCTCACCATCTTGGGCGTATGCCCGCCTCACATCATCATACAACGTTGTAGATGGAACTGAGGACGTCATAACCGCAACAGTGACTGTCTCACTGTTGGGTTTCGCGACTGTTTCAAAGTCGGGACGACGTGAGAGTGCATCAGCGACGACATTAAGTCGTCCTGGTTTGTACTCAACCGTAAAGTTGTATTCCGCAAAGAATGACAACCACCGCGCCATTCGTTGTGAAAGGTGCGGGCTGTTCACTGCCGTGCGTAATGACGCATGGTCAGTGTAAACAATGAAGGGTCTATCTCCTAATAGATAGACTCTGAACTTCGCGAGTGCATACTTCATGGCAAGGAGTTCCTTGTCATGCACTGGATAGCTCCGCTCAGCTGGTTGCAGCTGACGCGACTGATAGCAGACGACGCGTTCAACGCCTTCAAGATCGTACTGCATTAATGCACAGCCGATTGCGAAATCGCTGGCTTCACAGACCACATGAAATGGCCTGTCCTGATCGGCTATTGCTAGGACTGGGGATTGTATCAAGCTCTGCTTGATACCATCAAAGGAGCGTTGACATTCAGCGTTCCATAACCACCTCTCGTTCTTTTTCAACAAACGAGAGAGGTGCACAGTCATCTCGGCGTAATTGCGTGAATGCTTATGCAAATACGCCGCTAGCCCAAGGAATTTCGAAGACCTTTGACATCAACCGGCACAGGCCAGTCGGTGATCGCCTTGATCTTTTCGGGATCAGGACGTACACCGTTCTTACCAACGGTGCACCCAAGAAGTGGTATTTCGCTTGCTGCAAATATACACTTCTTGAGGTTTGCATACAATTGATGCTTTCGCATGATTGTAAGAGCCTGTCGGACGTGGTATCTGTGAACCTCAACGTCCGACTTTCCATCCATAGCCCGATTATGAATGAAGACGTCATCGCAATATCTCGGTGCGAATTCTCGCACTGGTCTCAACAGATGTGATACACATCTGTTGAACGTGGCAGGGGCATTACTAAGCCCTTGTGGCATTACTAGCCATTCCCAGAGCATGCCGCTAGGCGTGCTCACTAAGGTATAGGGAATATCCCGTTCTCGCATAAGGATTTGATAGAAGCCATCCATCGAATCCATGGACGAAAAGATGGTACTCTTTGACATACCATCAATGATTACGTCCTTCCTTGGTATCGGCGTCTGTGCCGGTACCGTTGCAGCATTCAACTTGTTAAATTCATGCGCAATCCGCCACCCTCCTGTTGCTTTTCGCACACAGAAGGTCAGAGAGCTATGTGGAGAAGTTGATTCCCTCACATGACCCGCAGCTAAACGATCGGCAAAGCACTAGTCGATCGCAAGTACTTGTTCACGAGGCAGTGGCCACTGCTTCATGACACAGTACTTCGAGCCTGGTTTAAGCTCGACCTCGTGTCGAATACCTTTATCCTTGTGTAACTCGCACGGAACAGTTTCAGGGAATACATCCTTGAATTCAACCAAATCTTCATAGAGAGGATTTGTCTTGAGCGATTCCCACGATTGGGAGTCATATCCCTCAACTCGTGTCTTTTCATCTAGGACACTCTCGTCCATAGATGAACTACTGAGAACTCTCTCGTTCTCAGTAAACATTGTTGCTGACCTTATGTCGGCTACACACTCGTCGTCAGCGACGAGTACGCAGATCTGCTTGACTTTGCCACTACGCAGATCACGCAAGAACCTTTTATGCTCGAGCGTTGGCAACTGAGTGATCTCCGAAGTCAACTTCGGAGGCGCAATCAGATCAAGTGCATAAGCGCCTACACTTGATCCATCATAGACTAGGACATTCAATGTCTCTGTCATTTCCCGGGGACTTACTCCCTCAGGCCTCGAAGGACTTATTCCTTCGGCTTCCCGGAAACTTATTCTCGCGGGTTTCGGGGAACTTATTTCCACCGTATTTGTAAAATCGGGACTTATTCCCTTAACTTCCTCTAGCTGGGGTTGCGCAACCACAGCGAGATCCTCTACGAAAGACTCTCCAGTCGATCTAGGATTATCGTTTCGCTTAACCTTAGCGATCGATTGTTTCTCTTCTAGATGTTCCCCGCTAGGGATACATCTTTGTCCCGGTCCACTCGACTTATTCGAGTGGTGGACCTTCGGCGCAGCCTGTGTTTCCTAACAGCCGCCGGGACTTTGCTCCGAAGTGTAACCGTTTGTTACGCTAAGGTTTTGTGCAGTCGTACTAACGACCGTACCACAAGTGAGGCCATCGCACTCACTCGTAGTACATCCACACGCTTGTGGACGCTCCAAAACGTTCATCAGATGGCCATCTGATGAACAAGAGGCAGGCATTGTTACTGCTCGATGTTGCCAGTTTACACGTGGTTCGTACCTTCTGAGCCACGGTATTCCAAGGATGACATCAAATTTGTCATCCTAATCCAATACGATAAAGTCATCATCATGTTGGGCATCTTCTAGCGTATAGTGGATCTTTACTATACGCTTCATGACGGTTACGGATGTGCCTGTCGCAAGACGTGCCGTCATCCTCGTAGGAGGTGTGTCACATTCAACAAACTTGAAGTGACCATCTTCTGGCGATTGGCGTTGCTCAAAATTGTTGGACGCCCCACAATCGACTAGAGCTCGAAGGGACAACTTATTCGTCACTTCGAGTTTCAAGGTAATGAGTGAGATCTCATTACCTAGAGCAGCAACGCACAACGTTTGTGTGTTGGGAGCAACCTTCATCAAGAGGCCTACAAATTCTCTTGACGTTGCTGGACCAGTAGGGTGCTCCGCACCTACTGATCCTGTCCGTTTTTTGACGGTCCATCCCGTTGTTGCGTCTTTGCACCAACTACGGACCCTCGTCCCTGCCCCTTTCTCATGGGTGGACGGTCATTACGCCCAGTGTTGCGAGACACTGGACGAGGGGCACTACACTCGTAAGCGTAGTGTCCTGTTTTTTTACATCTGTTGCATTTCTGCAACTTCGTGTAGTCTGTAGAGCGAGCCTTCTCGCTCTCTACATAACAGAGTTCCATCGGCTCTGGACCTCCGCTGTCATATCGTCTCTGTGTACGATTTGATGTCGAGCTGGCGCGAGCCTGTCTCAGACTGAAGTCTTCCTGTTCCGCAATGGAAATGGCTTGTTCTAGTGAATCTAGTTCAAGTCGGAACAGGTGAGTCTTGACGGGACCATCCGCAAGACCCTGCATGAACACCGAAACCAACTTGTGTTCATCAACCGGGTTGGAACTTATACAACTCGTGAGATGTCGCATATGTTGCGCGTAAGCGTGCACATCACGCTTACGCTGTTTGAGTTTCAAGAGTTCGGTTTGAGCTCTGAACTCAGCTCTAGGCGGTTCAAACGTTTGTCTGAGCCGCGACTTGAAGACTTCTAACGAACCAAACGCATATGGGTCGTGCAACTTGATCCCCAAAGCCCAAGTCTTGACACGTCCTACCAGATTTGATTGGGCAAATGCAACTTGCATATCCCCGTCGTCGATGCGACGCTCCCTTATGGCGTCATCCAATTCGACGAACCATCTCAAGAGGGAGTCTTTTTCGACTCCCCTATACTTGGAGATGTCAATCTTCAAGGTCTCGGGTCGACGCGAGTGCATCGACCCACCAGCAGCAGCCTGCTGCTGTCTCAACAGTTCAAACTGTTGAGGACCATGTTCTTTCAACAACTCTGATTGTTGAGAGCCTTGTTGGTGAAGCAAGGCTACTTTCTCGCGTCCAGCGTCAAGCTCATTTTGATTGAACTTGGCGATAGTAGCATGTTGGGCATCTCTATTGAGAGCCTCTAGCATGACGCTAACAGCATGGATGCCCATGGTTGAACCCATTCGTTTAACCGCATCCCATTCGACATCGCTCAAATGGGAGTAGCCGTCACGCGTAGGGTGAAAGCTTTGGTCATCTTCATCATCCAACATATTCATGTTAGATGTGAACGTGGTCCTTGGACGGACTACGAATGTGCTACCAGGTGTAACTGGGCACCCTGAAGCTTGTACTGATGACAGTACAAGCTTCTTATTCTGACGACAGAATAAGGCGGTGCCTCGGAACTTCACGTACACTGGTACGTGCAGAGGAAGACGGTAAGAAGAAGCGAGTACTTGGTTAAAGTAAAAAGTAGAACTGTATTTATAGTAGTTAATGTCCGTTAATAATCCACTGTTCATCCTCATCAAACTATGTCTAAATACAAATGTGTATATCAAGTATCTGCTCACCACTCATTGCGTGCGTCTGTCGTGGCGCGTCTTCGTTGGTTGATATAATGGCCTATACCAACCAATTAGGAACTACTCGTAAGTGCTACAGAATATTTGTCCTTATGACAATATTCTGAGAATATAACTCTTATAGTTATGTTCTATTAACAAATTCTTATAAATTGTTATGTAACGATTCACCCTGTTACACTTTTGACAAAATCGGACGCATTTTCGAGCAACTTCTGCCGAAATTGGACGTATTCTGAGTTACTTCTGATAACGATTTAGAATTACCTATCGAACAAAATTGAACCCAGCCCTTTTCATTTGCCATTTTATTACCTCTACAGCTTTTTATTATTTCTAGTGTTACGGTTGTAAAATGAGATTTTAAGTCAAAATTGCGTTGTTAGTGTTAGTCAGCTATGTTGACTAATAGTAATTTTTCGAATGACGTGCCGACGGTAAGTACTCGAAATATAGCCCACATCAGGGGTACAAATGTAGCTAAATAAATGATACGAATAAGTGGAATCTTTCATTTAGCATGCCGCTGCTATAATTAACGAATAACTTAACGTGAGTCAAATTTCCACATGAGTCAAGACTGTTTGCAGTTGTATTGATCATCGTTAACGGGTGATTTCGTAATTGCTTAAATTTTCTTCGTCAATTGTCGACCCATCGGGGTTGTACCTTAGCAAAATCGTTAAGTTGCTCTGGATACTTGCCACGATGTACGATTAACAAAAAGAGTTGTGTGTGTCCGACATAAATCCCATGCCAACAGAAAATGGGCATAACGATATCTTTAAACTGCGCAGAAATTTTTTTAAATTAACATTTCCTAGAAACGATGCATGCCGTCCGCGCTTATTACAGCTTTTGTGGCGGATCTACTTAGCGCTCCTTAACAAAGAGAGTCTAAGACTTCAAGAATCTCTTAGCAGCAACGTACAGAGGTTTAAGCGTACACGCTAAACATTTCCGGCTCTAAAAGATTACGATTCACCAAATTACACACTGATTAGTCGCTACTAGTTCACAATAGTAAATGCCTTGACAAGGCTACTGCTCTTAACAACACCACACCTTTACTTGACATTTGTGTCCAACGATTTATAAGGGAGACTGAACTTTTTGTATTTTTTAACTTCTATAATAAAACCCTGAAACCTTGTCTGACTGACTTCTGCGATGCGATCCTTTGACAAAAGTCTTATCCCTAGCCGATAACGTACGGTATTACCGTAAGAACATGGTACCAATACTGTACCACTCAGATCCACCGATATTTACTTGGTGTGGACACACCACATAACCGGTACAACAATCGCGTGTAACCCGTTTCGCACTCCCCATCTAAACTGTCGACTACTTGTGTTGACAATTCTTCTGCTGCTCCTCAGGGTCTCAAAACTCTGGTCCTGACCATCGTGTTCACAACACATCTTAAAAGTGTCTGGGTCAAAGCCTTTGTCCAACACTCTTGAGATTTTCTCGAAGAGAGTATAGTGGTTAAGCGATTTTTCATGAATGATGAACTAAAGAGTCGACGAGTCGGACGGACATAGGACCTTGCGGCCGGGAAATGGACTGGAGACCTGGGTGTCAAAGGTAAGGAGCGGCTGTTGGGTCCAACTACGACGAGCTTACTGCTAACGGGGTCAAACCCACTGACGGTACCAATTAAACGGTACCGGTATGAATCGTTCTCAGCCACTCGTCAGTTGGCCTGGTCGCCCAAGGTGGGCCCCAGTCACCCGTAGGCCTACCGGGCCACCCATCGTCCGACCTAGCCACCCGCGGCCGACCGGGCCACCCATCGGCCAACCTGGTCACCCATAGGTCGACTTGTCCTCTTAAGTTCTGGTGGCTCCTGGTCGCTCATTATAGAGAACCCAGGTGAAAGGCAAAGATAGAGTAAAGGAGTTTGAAGGATAGGAAGGTATTAAATACTACTCAAATTGTGATCTAAGTAGTACGATGTGTCGTGCGCTAAGAAACTTGAAGTCTACCGACATGTTCCGAGCCAGGGATCTGTTCGACCCAACCGTCGAATAGAAAGTTGACAGTAAGACTTAAGTATAGGTAGAACCCCAGGAAGTATATTGGACTGTGGGTTCGTAGAGTAGCCCCCCCCCCAACTCAAGCCCGCTATATGAAGCGGTCTCCATACCCTAGTGATACGGATAAAAACGTAGAGGCTAGGCAATTAGCACCCCTGAGACAACTAAAGGTCAGCCGCTATCAGCACTTGAAAAAACTGGTCATAAGACCAATCTCGACCAAGTCTTTCGAGTGGCCGCCTACATTGGACCCCGGATGAAGCATATCCGCTCTGCCCCCCAGGTCTACCTCCATCAAGGCCGACGTCTACAATCATCACCAAGTCCTCTGAAGATTAAAACCTCCAGCAGACGGTTACACAAGGTGAGTCAAGGTCCACAAGCAGCATCGGGGTACCCCGTCCGACAGTCGGCAGCCCGGAACAGTGATTGGTTTGGAATCTTGTCAAACAGTTTCAACAATCCACTCCACCACAATGGTGTGCGTGCCCGGATCTTCGGAAGTCACAAATTTTTATCGCGAGTTCTAAAGATGAAAAAGACGTTTCGGTCAAGATAGAACCGAAGACTGATGAACGATTGGAAGACCGAAAGCTAGTAACACAAGAAGACAAAAACTAAAGAGTCGAAGGACCGACCGGACCTTGGGAGGGGACCTGGTCAACTTAGTCAAGGTTTTAAGTATCAAAGAAAAACCTAAGCACCTTCCCTACGTCCTCGGTGAGGAAGCCTTAGTCATGATACCTATCATGCCTCAAGGCCCATCAGCCGATGGTAAAAGCTGAAAAGCTATGTTCTCCGAAACAATAGACCCCTAAGGTAGCCAAGTACAAGCCGAAGAAGGCCAGAGTGAAAGCGCCAGGGGACACCAATTTGATGGTTCCCGACACCTCAGGACCATCGACCGATTCGGACCATTGTCCGACGACGAAACACGGATAGCTATGGTGCTTGACACCAAAAAATTAAAATCGCTCTGTTCAAGCCAAAAAATACGAACACGGAGACGCCAGCGGACATCAAGTCGGTGAGCCCTGCCCAAGTAAAGCGGCCGGCCTGGTCAGACGATGCAGTAAGGATTTGCCTACCACCGAAGCAAGCTGGACATATCTTGACAAGCGACCCCGTCGCGAAACCCTTGAATTCCAGCTGCTTGGACGACTAGGGGGACCTGCGTCACCCCTACCACTACCTCGGACGGTCACCGAGGCGGTAACTGCGATGGTGACCCTCCTCCACGAGCCAAACATGGCTGCAAGAAGATTTGAGTCAAACACTTTGATCTACCTGGGGTTCAACAGCATCACAAGCACGGTGGTGAAGTTGCACCACCGATTGGCGATTTTAATTATAACCACCACCAGACACACCGACGTACCACCAGCACAATTTCTGACGGCACCGTCATAAGCCAGTCAGACGAAGCTCCAAGACGTCGAAGCCCAACCCCAAGCGCGAACACAGCTCGACAATTTATGGGTGATGCGCCCTTCACCACCACCGACTCTTTCGTTAGGTATCCAAGACGCGAATGAGCGGTCTTCAAACAGTTTTTCTGCTCCTGATCAGAACGACAGGGTCCCACTAGGATTGAGAGGAGAAGCGATGCTCCAGGCTTGTGCAAGGGGCAGAGAAAACAAATAGTATTTTACGAAACGGCGACACGTGTCCACCCAAGGGACATCCTAGCACCTGATAGGGTAAATTTTAACCCAATGGGAATGCAGTACGGTCGCAACAGGAACTCTGCACCACCACGTAACAAAGATGCTGGAGGGGCGTGCTTACCAATACGGTAGCTAACTTGCGGGCATACTTCGACGCGGCGATGGCACGATGTCTACAGGAACACCAGGTACAACAAGGATACCAAGATGGAAGGACGACCGCAGAGGCACAAACAAGACACAAGGATACCAAGATGGAAGGACGACCGCAGAGGCACAAAGGGCGCAGGTGACAGCGGCTTAACAAGCACCGAGGAACATGACACAAGTTTCGAGTTGACGTACTATGACTGACGTGGGGATGAAATTAGTCGGTACGTGCGAGTACGACCCGGACAACACGGACTTGGAGGGGATACTTGCGAGGATGGCAACAGCTACAGTAGAACAAATGCCCAACATAATTCCTCTCATTAAGCTTTCAGCTACATCAGACCTAAAGGATTTCCTTTACCGAGATCAAGACGAGGACCGAGCACGCAGCTGGGTGACCACAAACCGCGTTCACGAGAGATCAAGCGCCCGACGATGAAAAGTGTCTTGTCTTCGGTGGATTGATAACTGGACCAGCTCAGAGCTGGTATTGCCAGCTGGATCGCTCGTTTCGATTAAGCTGAAAGGATCTCCTACAAGAGTTCCATATGCAGTTATGCGGTTTGGGAGTGCCAGTTGTTTGCCAAAACTACCATGCGAAGAAGAGGTCAGATGAGTCACCATTGGACTACCTGAACCGAATCAATGTGATTGGACTCATGGCGAAGATCAAGATCAAGGACGGAATGCCCAAGGTACAAAAGGAACACGTCGATCACTACTTCGAGACTTTAAACGACCCGGGACTGGTGGACCAGCTCACGAGATTGCTTCTGGCGGATGTGGGCGGATCGGGAAAAGTGCTCAAAGCCAGGCAGAGGACGAAGGCGCGGCGAGGTTAAGTACTATTGGATCAAAAAAGTTTTGATAAAAGGCACTCGTACCACTCGACCAACCAAGAGAAGCAAAACGTTGGTCAGTACATGCAGTACAGGCGACCATGGAAGAGTCGAGTTCTAACGATTTGATCTCGGACGGCTCAAGTGAAGAAGGTGAATTGAGGCAAATTTACTTGATGGCGACAGAAGGGCATAGGTAATCAGGTGTAAGACCCCCAACATGCTGGCCTACCCGAGAGGCTGACCAACAGTTTCTTCAGGAAAGTGACCGGGGACCTCACCCGTCACAGACCGCTCAAAACAACAAGTGCGCTGATTGTGGATCTCGTAAACGTGTTGATATGCGTTGCTGGAAACAACTCACGTGTGACCGCAGTTGTAGAGGGATTACCCAACGGATCGTTGTATATATCTGTGCAAGGGGTGCGGAGAAGCCCACGAGGCCGGAACGTGCCAGATGGGATAGTTTTATAGCTTAATAAGTCAATGGTACCTCCCCACCAAGCACGCTAGGATGTTGCCGGAGGAGGCGGAGACGATGATAAACTTAAACGCTCACCAGGTTTGAAGCTGGTACGATCCATGTGTTCTTATTTTCATGTCTTTGCATGTGTGGAGAAGATTTTTAAAGAAGATGTAGTTACCATAGGGAAAAGGAGTTTAAAGGAAGACACCACAGCTGAGAATATTGGGAATATGTTGAAGTTTGAAAAATATCATGTGGTCCATGTTGCTCGTATCAATGACCCAAATGAATTTGCTCGAAAAGATGCAGTGATGGAATTGGAACTACTACCATGTGAATTCAGGGGCTATTGGAAAGACCATGCTCCTTCGAAATGGTTTAAACTGGCCAAGGAATTTGGAAACGTCAATAACGATCGCGCAAATTTGCTGTTTGGTACTTTTGCCAAGATCTCTATTTTGGATATCACCTTTGCTCGTAAGGTAGGCTGCCAGATTGACGAATGTACAAGACAAGAATGTGTCGGTATTAGGGAATTAATTTATACCACAGAAGGGCGCACTCGTATCAAGATCACCCTGAAAGGAAAATTGGTGTACATCTTCAAGGTATGGGTAGGTCTTGTGGTATTCTAAGATGCAATTTTAGGGATGGACTTCATGTTCACAGCTTGTATCCGTTTAGACGTGGGGGACGGAGCACTCTGTCTCCCAAATGAAGTTCGTATCAACTAGCTGGCCGACCAACGCTTTACAGTGGCAGAATGAACGACGTGAGGCTAGGACAATTCGCACAGTTCTCTGTTGGAGTGTGTGCAAAAAAAACCTGAAAAGTTCGAACTCGGAGCAGAGTGTGCTGTTGGTGACGAGAGGAGAACGGTGGGTCACTATGGTAAACCGAGGGGTAGGTCGACGTCAATTCTTGAACGTGACCAATATCATCGCATTTTTTCTAATTCTACATGACTACACCAGGATTGGCATGTTGTTGGCGAAGGATCAAATGCCGAGGACACTAGGATTCGTCACTGTGGGCTCTCGAAGATACGCTGAGTGGTGAAATTTGGCATACGAATCTACCACCCACCACGATGAGTATCACTTGGACCTGATGGAGGAATACGAGGGACCATTAGTGGACAGACTGTAATTTGAGACCCCATTGCATTTTCTGCAGCGACCAAGAGAATTCACCCCGGTGATGAGCGTCTCATCCCAACAGCCTCCAGTGGAGGATTCACCAACATGCGAAGAAACGACCGCCGTAGCCCAACCTCTAGAAGCCGCTGTCACTCGGCATTTAAAATTACGGTCCTTCAGCCTACTAAAAGTCAAAGCCCTTAAAGCAAAAACGAAACACGAGGACCCAGCACAATTCAACGACTAAGTATGCATCGTTGAGAGTAGATAACTCTGGTTCGAGGAAATAAGCTAAGGATGGGCATTAGTACCAGAAGTAGACCCCTCGCCCGAAGGCATCGAGTTGAAGGACATACATATCCCTGATTCGAAAGGGAACACGCCTGAAGAGGTGGATAGATCGGACAAATTATGTGCAGCATGCCACATCTGCAGATACAAAAGAGGCAACGCCTTGCCACCAGCTGCTCGTGGTGCCATATGCGACATCGACGTGGGAAATGCAAGACCGATTGCACAACGTGTGCGAAAGGTAGCCCCTCAGTTCAAAGAAAAGTTGATTGACATAATCAAACGTCTACACTCAGCGAAGATTATCTTAACGTCAACTTCGCCGTGGGCCAGCCCAATAGTGATCTTGGTGAAGAAGATTGGGGGTAGATATCGGGTAGTGCAATAGATAGTGCGTTTTGGTACTGCTCTCTCAATACGGCAAGTTGTTTTTAGGTGGTCAGCATGACTGAGAGGGCAAAATTAATTTCAGCCTTGTAGTGCATTCTTAATTCTCAGAATCAAGAATGCTAACAGATTTACCAGCGACTTTTGGACAACGCGTTATACGGTTTCTTACTTATTTCCCCAGGAGCCAGCTTGGATAAGCCAGAAGAATTGGTTTGCGTCGGGGGAACCAGACACAAAGTCAGACCCCTAGATATTGGGTCTTCGGTCGTACATAGACGATATACTTGTACACGATGAATCTTAAGACGCGTAATGCGAAAGTGTCGAACGGTTGTTGGACGTGTGCGAATACTGAAATTTGTCGATTAGTGCAGTCAAGAGTTCGTGGGGATGTCGAAAGGTCGACTGCCTTGGACACCGGGTACAGAGAGAAGAATTGGAAGCACATTTAAAGTACCTCAGAGCACTTGTCAACCTACCTCTACCAACAACTCTCAAGGCCATGCAATCGTTCTTTTGAGGTCTGAATTACTACAGCAGGTTTATTAAAAATTATGCTATGTTTGCGTCGGTCCTAAACGAGTTGAAATAGGTGGACTTCCACGCGTGACGATGCAATCTAAAGGATATTCAACCGTCAGTGACCATAAGTGAAGACGGAGAGTAGTGGTTTTGGCTTTTTTACATTCTCGATAACAAGATTGTTAAAGCACCTATTTTGCGGCATTTGACGTATCGAAAGAAGCGATTAACATTGTCTACGCGAGCAAATGGGCCATCTCAGCGTCGTTGGTGCAGGACTATAAAGGCCTATTTATGCCAGTGACCTTCAAGAGCCGGACACGTATTGCCAACGAGTTGAACTACAGTACCGTAGACAAAGAAGTTTTGGCGTCGTTACGGAAATTGGAAAAAAATTACGATGCTGGTCACTCGACCTCTCAAGTATTAACGAGACACTCGACGTTGGACTGGTTGGTAAATTCTCTGGATTGAAGGATCGTTTATAAAATTGGGCCGCTCTCTTGTCCCAGTGGACATTAGAGATTGTGAAGTGCAAGAATGGTGAAGACCAGGTGCTGGGGGAATTGGAGGTCAGTATTACTCCCCACGAGAGTGTAGACTCAATCCTATCGGCTATCGCACTCAAAAAACAGGCGAAAGGAAGGTCAACCTACCTACGCCAATTGTGGAAAGACACGAAGAGCTATATGTGCTGAGCTATGATGGGTAGGGTCGTGTAAAACAAGGAGGTGGAGCATGTAGTGCTGTTGTATGGAGCCTGTCTACGTGGTCGGTAGTAAGGGCCGCCTTAAAATATATTAAGGTATACACGGTGAATGAAGCTGAATTCGAAGGCATGTTGCTGGTCTTAGATTTGATGGAAACTTTGGAACGACGACGGATAACTATCTGTGGAGACTTCAATCTGGTCATCCGTTAAATGCACGGAGAAATCGAGTGCAAGGATCCAAGGTTGTCTCTGTTACGAGCAAGAGATCTAAACAAGATTAAGTCGTAAAATTACCACGAGATACTCCACGTAAAGCGCTATCGGAAAACATATTGAGGACCAGCTGGCTAGTGAAGCATTACACAAACAAGGAGGGGTAAAATCGGTACCGAGGTAATAGTACCTAGGGTTGGAAGTGATCAACCGACTACCACAGCTGTTAGTCCCCAAAGACGAGGATCGGACGGTTAGATCCTTCGCGGTGACCCGATAGAGGCCACCCATCAGTAAATACGTAGAATGATTGAAGAAGAGGTGGTACAAATAGCTGCGAGTGGAACGTATCCGGAAGGCTAAAGAGGAGGAGAGCTGGATGAAAAATCTGAAGGAATATTTAAAAGGGGACCTGGGCGGCCTACCGGCAGAATAGGCACAGTCACGCAGCGAATTGCCAAGAGATTATGAGGTCAGTGAGGAAGGCTTACTGGTTTACAGTCACGTCCACAAGACCGACGAGGGCGACCGAGGATTGACTACCCGAATGGTGATCCTCGAATCCATACAGACCTACGTGTTACATCACCACCACGCCATTCTAGAGGGCGGTCACCAAGGGGCCGGTCGCACCTACTATAGAATACGCCAATACTTCCATTGGAGAGGCTTGCTTCAAACACATGAGCCCACATACTGTGCAGCGGTATGTGGGCTCATGTGTAGATTGCGGGAAGGTAAAGGGGAGGGCCTACCCTTTAAGGGACAACCCCAGGTAATGTCGAGGCGACCTACCCGTTCCAGGTCATAGCAATGGACTATATTCCCTCATTGCTCAAGTCACATGAGGCGAAAACTGAACCCTTTATTTGGATCAAATTATTTACGGTGTTTGTGATGGCCAGGGCAAGTGCTTCCCGAACTGCTCAGACGGTGGCCGAGGTTATGAAGAATGTGATTTTAGGCGTTTTAAGGCCAGCGAGGTGATCCGCCATAACCGGGAACCCGGTTTCATGCAGGCTTCTTTCGAGCGTACAATCGCATGGTGGGTCAGCATCAACAAGCGACGAATGCTTAACGACCATAGGCAACCGGTACCGCGGAAAGAATGGTCCAAACCCTGACAAGATATATCAAGATGTATGTCTGAAATTGGCGCAGCAGATCGGGGAAGAGTACGCAGAACAGCTAACGTTCGCACTGAACACTGCACACGATGGAGTGCAAAAAGAGACACCGTTCAACTTGGTCCACGAGTGGGACACTAAAA